ACACGCGCAACGTTTCATTTGCAGAATTGTTCATTTCAATTAATTGAATAATTTTTATAAAATCTTTCTTAAACAATAATTCGGCATTAAAATATCTTTTTAGTTTAATTGGATAAAGAATTTTAAATATAGTTTTCATTTTTTTTCAGACATATTTCTTTTTGTTTTATAAATGACATTATAATGGTAATCGTTATAAATAAATGATTTATCTTAATTACTTCTTTTTTCATAATTAAAAGAATATAAATTTTTTTCAATTAAGATAGAAAAGTAATAAACAATATAGCATGACTAACTGTCGTCATTTTATTCGTATGAATGCAAATAATATAATTAAAAAGGTAGGTTCATATTACAACAGAATCTATTTATGGTTACATAAAAGAAAAATCTATACTATTAGGTAAAATATATTTTCCGTAACTATCTGAATTAATAAACATACCATTAAAAAGTTTGTTTATAAAAAAAATTATTCTTTTTAAATGAAAAACAAGAAATATTGTTATATGAGTAATTTCTTCTTTTATTCTATTTAATGTTAATAATTAATTAACAAAAACAAAAAATAGTAACGTATTATATCTCAACAAAATACTTCTTTAAACATTCAATTTAACATAAATTACTTAATATATTTAAGTAAATCTATACTCTTTTTCTTTTCCTGGCCATTCTTTTATAATGATACGGAAAAGGGATTAAATCCTTATCTATAGCTATTCAATTCTTGCTTTACGTATCATTGTTCCTAATCAATCGTAAAAGCTTAAAAAAACTCGCGTGTAATTGCAGGAAACTTTTTGAAATTTGCGTTTATCCGGAAAATATTTCTCAATTCATTGTATCTTATGCATGAAGATGCAAACTATTTCAAACTGTTCCGCATGAGTGCAAGACAATAGTGCATGGATAGATATACATACTACAAGCACATGCATGGAAACAAAATTTTTTTAAGTCTTTAAGTAACACATGCGAGACTGTATAATTCATATTCTTGAAAATAGTTGCATGCAATATTCTTACGTGTTTAATCAAGATATATGGCTTGCATGTAAATGTTAAAATGTTATTAACGTGTACCAGTAAGACGTCTAGAAATTTGCTAAATTCTGCATATTAATACAAAAAAGTTGAATTTACGAAAATTATTACTAAAATGGTGCTACATCGACACAGAAATTTCTGTCATTTTGTAGGATGTATGTTGTTTCATGCAAGAATATATTTTTTTTCTTCGAAGTGTTTTTATTTATTTCTTATTAGAATGAAACCCTTTTCATATCTCTACATTATATTGGCTTAAAAACCTTGTTCCATTTTTCGAAGTCGCTCATAATTATTTGTATTCATGTTCACACGTGTCTATTAATGTCTATGCCAGAATTAAAGAGGAGCGAGTGTAAGTTCAATAACTTGACAACGGTAATAGTGAGTGACCTGCAATTTTCAGCAATTCAAAAATGAAAAAGTTAGACGTCTTTTTATCTGATACTATGTAGGACAAAATTGTTTGACATGCTCTTCAGGTAGTAGAACTGCAGATTAATAACCTTAAGGCACGATTCAGGTGAGTATCTTCTCATATCTTAAAGTTAAGCAAACAAAATTGCATATCTATTCGATGAAATAATATAGAATTGTGTTGCTTTTTAGCAAATTTTCTGACTTTTATCAAAATTTCTTTGAAACGAAACGCCTTTTTCATGCATTTTCTTGAATGTTTTGTGAAGATGATGAATTTTAAAGTCACTTCGTCGCACATAGTATCAAGCAAAATGATGTCGAGAGTCTTCACCTCTTTTGATTGCTGAAAACGACAGATCACTAGCTGTTGCCGTTATCGAGTTTCTAAAATTATATGCACCGGTCTTTAATTCTGGTGCAGACATTAATTATCACACGATCATCATACCCGTTAGTTTTGATTGCACTTCTAATGTAAGCAGATCATCAAATGATGAAGAAATTCGTCTTATAAAGCAAAGTAAGTAAATTGAAATCTTATTTCTGGAAGAAAACTCCTACGTATTTAAGTTTGCTTACCGTATGTGCTTCTGTTTTTCTGCTATTCTAAAATTTTCTTGCATCCACAGGCTTGAGTTCTCTACAATAGAATTCGTACATTCTCTCATTCAGCAAGAATCTAAAGTGTATATATGCGCAAAACTTCATGCATGTAAACGCGAATATAGTTTACTTGGTGATGCGTTCATACGCATGCCGTATCATAGCGATTACTATATGTGCACTCTATGATAATGCTGCGTGTGCACACATTTTAAAAGTTTTCACGTTTGACTGGGAGATGTAGTTCGACGAGTTCTATCAAATGATTTATATTGCACTCAATTGAAAATAAAACTTTATTGAGCATAGTTCTCTAAAGTCTAAGCGATTGCTACCACCTGTTGACTTTGCTTAGCCTTAGTGTCTTACCTGAGGCAACTTCAAAATGTAACGTACTCAATGATTTTTATTCAGCTAACTTGAATAATACATTCGCTATTGTATAAATGCTTGGTAGCTGTAAATGAGACAGACAAACTTTTTTTTTGGGGAAAAAAAGATTTCATGAGGGAATCTTTTCGTTAGTAATTTACATCAAGATGTCCGTCATTCTGAAAATATAGCTAATTCTATTCAATGTGAGAAACATGTTGGAATCATATGTGTGTTTATAACTCTTTTTAAACTTTGTTATCGAGGCCAACCTCGATGATACTATATGGTATTGTTGCGGTGGGATGCGCTTATCTTAGATATTTCTCTTTTCTTTCTGTTCTTCTGTATGTTGTACAGGTGACAAGTACGACATACATATATATTCTTTTCTTCTTTCCTTTCTTTCTCAACATACTCAGGTATTTTCCATTTCGCTCTTTTCTTTTTATCTGATTCAAGTGTCTTTCCTCCCCTTCATGGTTTTTTTCCTAGTTCGTTCGCATAAATATATAGTGATCGTTTGAAAAATAAAAAAAGGATTTTCTTTATCGATCAGAAGATCGAAACATACGTTAACAAACTTCCAAACGTAGATTGGATGTAGGTGTTGACTTTCGGTTAGCCAACACTCCTACGCCATCAGGTGATTCAAATCGTGGAGGGGATCGTCAAAGAAAATACTGACTCGAAGCATAGTTCATACTTTTTCAGGGATTCTCCTCACTGAAATTTTATTTTCATTGGAACTAAATGTATACCATTCAATAGAGCTCGTTAAAGGACATCTGGCTCATTGCGTGCATCATTTGACTCAGCCAATAGGCATACATGTAAAACTTGAAGAGTTATTAAGAGTTTTAAACTTCTTCTTCAAGTTTAAAACTTTATGAATTTTGAAAAGTTTATAATTCGAGTGGTCTAATTTTACGCTATTCAAATTTTGAAAGTTTAGAATTCGAAGAAGTTTAAAACTTGGAACAACTCTTCAAATTTTACATGCATGGCTTACTCATTCCGCGAGATGTGAAAGCAATCGCAAACGAGTGCCCACACTCGCATATAAAATCTATGACATAATATGTGGGTACTACGAAACTCGAAAACACACGAGAGCATACAAAAACCCACACACCAGGTGTGCGTACCGCGAAACAAGAATAGATCCCCAGCACATATGAAACTCAACATACCAGACGTGGATGCTACGGAGGAACCATTATTGCAAGTCAACAAGTGTGGCTTTGAATTCACATTAAAATACGTGAAAACTCTGACAAGACTTACATGAAAACGAGCTGGGGCAGATCGTACACCTCAACACTGTAGTAGTTTACAATTCAATAACTCAACTTAAAACCTTTTCCAAACTCGTAACAAATTAACGGATTCTACACTACTGATCAAATGGTCACCGTTACTTCTATTATTTTCATCGTATTGCGAGCTTATGGAAAATAGCGACGTAATGATGTTAAATTTCTCCGTTTTCTTGAGCTTGGATGAATGATTGATAATTTCTATCTTAAAAGCTAGTAATGTCAACAAAAGACTAAATAATCAACGTTTCAAAATCACCTAACAAGATTTTTTAAAGGTATTTTAATAATATGATTTATATATTTTGATCTTCAACATGATCTACTGATCGTATCATCAGCAGAAGTTTGCACTAAATAAATGAGAAATCGGTTTTTTGTGTAGTTGTAATCCATTTAAACTGTTTATTTAGCGTATATTTTGACTAATCATATAATTTCTAGTTCAACATGAATATTTAAATATCTAAACCTATTATTACAAGTCCATATATCATGCTTACAGGATATCGAAAAATTATAGGACTTCGCATACACTCATGTAATAATATTTATTTCACTGCGAGAAAATAATGGTATTGGATTTTTTGATTGCCTGTTTAGATGAGCATGGTTGTCTATTATCTCTTACCATTGTCGATTCTCTTTTTCTTTCCTTCTATAGATGATAATGTGATGAAAATGAAAAATTTTTATTTCTATCATATTACCACCTAGGCAAGAATCGACAATAGCACGAGATAAAAGATAATTATGCTCATCTAAACAAGTAATCAGCAGTTCAATAACATTAGTTTTTCATAATGAAATAAATATTATAGTACTACTATATCCAGATATTCTATAAATATTGGATACTCTGTAATGAATAAGTCTTCTTTTTACTTCAAACTATAATCTTCAATTACATTTTATTTTTAAGATGGATAATTCTAATGAATTGAATGAAACAAGCATAGAACTATCATTTAAAAAAAAAGAATTATTTTTCTTGTAATTATTCTTTCTATACAATTCTTCGGTTCATCAAATCGAAACGAATCATCATTTGCAAATAAATCTGAATAAATATTTTTCTAAATTAATAAAACGAACATTCATAATAGCAATTTCAGCACCTACATCAACATCGACTAAAATTCGAATAACGTTGAACTACATTCAATTGCTGATCGTCTTGGTAATCCTATGTATATATTGCATATATCACGAACTATTCCTAATAAAGTTTCAATGAATTTTCAAATGAAATCAATTGATCAAAACATGTGGTTATCAAATGAAGAAGTTAATAAATTAAAAAAGATTACTACTCAATATAATGTTTGTACATTTATGCCTGAATTATTAATACCAAATACATTTAAGACATTTGAAATTGTTAGTTATTGGCGATCTTATTCATATTTTGATGCTTATCAAAAAGAAATTCGTCAATTTTCTAGTTCTCATAGTAAAACATTAATTCGATTAGCTGACTATTTAACTAATATAATGAAAAATATTTGTTCAACGTGTTTACCTTTACCTAACAGAACACATAAAGGACTTCGTCAGGCTTTTCAAACACGTTATAATATAGCATGAATAAGTATTTATATACGTTAACGTGATTTTCGTAGACGACATTTTTTATCGCAAGTTCGTTTTTTGTTGTTGCAAATAATGATAAAGAATATTGTGAAAAATTATTTCATACAGAACAACAAACTCAAAGAATTTTTATACTTCCGAGAAAGTTTTCATATCTGCTGATGATATGATGGCATTATCATTATGTCATTATTCAATTGTTACAGGTGGTACATATGGATTTTGAACTGATTATCTTAGTGGCGGAGAGGTTAGACATGATATTCGATATAATGCTGGATGTTCACGATCGGATTATTGTCTACCATGGTTTATGCTAATAGAACCACTTGTTCATAAAAAAGTATAATATCAGAAGTTTAAATTTTATATTAGTATGTGTCATTTTGTTAGATGAATTTTTGTTATGTAAACTCAGTAGCAAAGGGCCCTAATTCATTAATGACGATTAACCATCATATCATCACCTGGGATCCATACGAACCTCATACACGTCAATAATAGTATTGTACGCAGGTGACATGGTATTAAAGATTGTTTTTTTAGATATGCTATTGTGAGAGTTAGTGGAATATACTAGCGATATCAGCTAATTCAAATCAGTCATTGGTGATACGGTATATGAGCTCAATGTTCATGTAAACGCGTTTTCACCACCTGGGATTTGCCTAGATCTCATGGCATTAAACTCAATAAACTTTTCTAATTTTTGGTCTAATGTTTTAATTTAGTTTTTATAGTATTCTTGGTCATTGCAGAAAACTTCAGAAGCTCGTATCATAGGTTTTGTATTAGTGCAAGGGGAAAACAAAGCGATGATCTATAATTTACTTTTCTCAATATGATTGATATGGTTAGGATCGCACCTCCTGCTGCATGGATAAGGAAAAAATCCTCGAATGACGGAATATTATATCAGTGGGCATTGTTTTTGCTACATTTATTGGTGCACGCTTGAGTAATTGTTGTCAGAATCCGCGAGCAATTGAACGAACTATTCTTCTAGCTATGCCAATAATCGGACTGATAATCATTATTTTACTGGCTGCCATTGCATTATAAGGGGTGTAAAGAATCTCTGTTAGTATTGCTGAAGAGAATGAGATAGAAAAGTTGCTACTCATTGTACTAATGATCATGTTTCTTGCTGTCGTGATCTTCACAAGCTCATTTTTCACTCATATTTGAGAAGCTGTTGAGACTTTATGAAGACAACGATAAAAAAAGGAAAGAAAACGTGATGAACAGTACTCAGGTAAACTACTCTTATGTTGATTCTTCTGGCAATGATGTCCTGTGTAAAATCCGTACAGTGGCAATGCAACACATAGAAAATTTGATCCATCTCAATTCAATAATGCAGATGGGGTCCGTACGGACTTCAGATAGGAGCCAGGTTACTTACTATTCGAAGGTGGTGATATGAGGATTAAACTAATTTTTCGTCCATCCGTAAGCCTCACGAAAAAACTCTTCCAACTAATAAGTTCCGTTTGACCTCATATATTGCCTATAGATAGAACTCATAGTGTAAATATAAATTGCTAAAGGGATTTGTATCACTAGGGTTTTCTTCTCGGATTATGCTCATTTTACTGATTGTTCTATCTATAGCAGAATATTACCAAAAACAAAACTGCAACAAGGAATTTTCATTTGAAATTTCATGCAACAATAGATGTCGTGATCTTTATGATATCTTCCAAGTTTCACCTTAAATGGTCACTTCTCCACAAAGATAACATGTTTGTAAACATCATTACTTTCTCACAAAAATTTGAAAAATAGCCTATTTTTTAGTCATCCGATATCTTAAGAAGAAAACACTCCTTTGAGTTGACACTTTCAGAATATAATAAGAACCATGTGACCTATTGATGAGTGAAATAGCAAATGAAAATTCAATAAAATGAGTATAACTCGACAAGATAAAACTAATGGGATGAAGTATTGTAGAGTTTTTTATCTGCATTAGGATTCTTATATGTGAATAAAATATAGGCTCAAACGGAAGTTATCAGTTGAAAGAGTTTTCTCGTCAGTGAGATTAGTAAGAATTTGAAAGGATAAAGGTGTATGACCCTTCTCACTAAAGTTATGGCTATTCTATTGAGTATTCAGCATTTAAGCAGGATATTGATGAGGATATTGAATTTCGATCTGAAATTTTGTTCATATATGCATGTCATGACTATTACAAGATCCTGACATCCTGGAATAATTTGAATGCTTCTTTCTTGAAATATAAAAGGACTAGGGTGAATAAGGTCATTTTTCTGTTCTCAACAAACTTGGCTTTTTTTTGTTATCGATTTGTGGTAGCTACGAGAATTGCTAGAAAACGTTTTACCTTTGATTTTATTGAAATTTATATTGGTGAATAGACTCAAGTGCCCTGGTTATGAATATCAGTATATAAAATACTCCACGTGTTTTATTAAACAAGAAAAACAATCTCTTTTCAGGTGCTTCTTGAGTTTTATATCCAGTCTTTCTCCGATGCATCTTTTCCATTGATTGTTCTAATGTCATCAGTAAAAATTTGTCATAGCTAAACTAACGTAAGTTACTCGAATATGAAGTATCAATATTCCTTAGCAGCATAATCGGCTATAAAAATTCAGATTTTCAGTCTAAACTCTACTTTCCTTAATCTTCAACCAAAGCTAGGAGTTTCGAAACCTCATAGATGTGAGATGTCATTAGGCATCAGGTCCTACTGCAAATTGATAAAAAACAAGTTCACTTTTTTGGGGGGTAAAAAGTGAATTTGTTTGTCCTTGTCTTTACTTAGAAAACTTGATTCTCAAGACATTCTATTGAAATATGAGTGGTATTGAAAATATTTGTTCCAATATTGGAAACTCAATAAAATCGTCATAACTTTGAAAACAAAACTCACGAAACCCTTGTCCCTTAAGACTTTCACTAATCTTACAGATGCTGACTAATGGGCGAAAAGCCAGTTCAATTGGGATATGGAACTAAAGGTCCTTTCCGGTCTGGATCCGTGAATGCCATCTTCTTTTTTGTTGTTGTTTGTGATTACACGTTTTTGTGGACGCGCTACTCCTCAGATGAGAAATACAACAACAACAGCATATAACTGTACGTTAAATTTGTTTCTTAGACTAGCGAATAAATAGTTAAAACGTTGATCCTTCACATGTTCATGTACATGGAGGATGCCAGGTATTGGCGGAAAAAACTCGGATTTGGACTCGCCCGAGTCCGGGTCCAATTTCATAATTTTTATTTGCGCCCCGATGGATCGATCTTTTAAAGGCCTTACTTCGTCAAATTCATTTAATATTCGAGAACACTTTCATTATTATGTTGCTTGAAAAACTTTTATGTAACTCTTTGTATTAGTGTTATAGTATAACTCAAATATGCATATCTAGTATTTAGCTTTTCTCTCCTTCTTTTCTCCTACTATCATACATAGATGACACATACGATATGCGTATATGTCTTTTCTTCTTTCCTTTCTTTTCCTTATGTTGATATTGTGTAGGTATTTTCTTTCTCATCATATTTTTTCCAAGTAACCTTAGATTTTGTCCTACTTCATTTATCTATATATAGTAACTTCAGAAATATAAAGATGAAATTTTAGAACTGATCTGTTAGCTCAATTTCCCGTAAACAATTAATTTCATATTATCAACTAATTATTCATATGATAATTTAAATTTATTCGTACTTATAGTCTATGATGATTTGAAGACCTTGTCGAATGTAGAGCAATACCTAAACTGTTATAAAGTGTTACCAATGTTTATCAAAGGATAATTTGACAATAGAGGAATAGTCAATCGAAAGGAAGAATATACAAATAATCATCTATATTAATAGTGTAGCATTTTGCTAAACATAATATGAATTACCATTCTTTGTTTCTGTGGTTTTGATTCGTTCATTTTTAAATATATGACTTATTAGACACTTAAACTACATATCAATATTAATAATGACTTGTTTTGAATCTATTTATTGATAGACAATGATATTTTATTGCAAAATTTATTTTTGCAATTTGTACGTACGTAAAAATCTTTCGAGAATTTCGAGCACAACATAGAACTCACCTAACAGTTGATTTAAAATACCCAAACAGAAGTGGTGTGATGAGCTTGAGCTATTTCGAATCTTAAACTTGAAGTTTAGTGTAGAAAAGATTACTAAAAAAATAAACAAAAATTATTAATATTTAGTCTTGAATATACAAAGAGTAAATATATGGCTAATGAGTTTTAATGAAGCAGGCCCTTATTTCTCTCTAAATTGAAACTCTAATCTATAGCAGTATGTTATCTTCTCTAAATTAGATCTTCGACTAATTATTTGACAGTAAGCTAAAACTCTCTCGATATATTGGGGTATTTTAACATCACATATCGAGAAAGTGTCAGGTTCGATTGCTTAAAGTCTCTTAGAGTAATAACAATTTTATAGTACGAATCGGAAACATTGAAGAATCTTTCACATCTCTAACGTTATTCGAACACTTCAACAGATAGAATTAACTGTTCTTTTTTGTATTTTGAATACTGATCCTTAGGATTAGTGACTCTCGTAGCTTGTTCTTTTCTAATTAGATCTTCATCACAAAAGAAGACCATTGCTTTCATTATCAAAATTCAACCGTCTTTTTATAGAATTTCTCACTTTCATCAAGTCATACATGTCTAAAAAAAAAACCTACGACTAAGAAAATACAAAAAGGATCACAAGGGTCATCAAGTACCAAGTATCTTCTGTCAAAGAAAAAAAAGAAAGAAAATTGACTTTGTCTCTTGAAGTACTTGAATAGCATTGGAGCCTATATATATAACACAGCAGTCTAAATAAGTACACAAGGTTTCATCTCAATACAACATAGAAACTTTGAAATCCTACTTTGAAAGAGAAACAAGCCTTAAACCAATATGTTTTTCCCTTATTCAAACATTCTATGTTGTTTAGTTGATGTTTTTCATCTGACTCTTCCTACTTTTACTTCTCCGGAATGGCCTCACACTTTTGATATACTTATTTGCACTAAATAAGGTTGCTTTAGAAGAGACATGTGTTAAATATTAGAGAAAATATTTTAAAACTTTTTCTCTTGAATTAACAATGGAACTCTATGGACATAACAGACTATACTGAACTTAAATTCAATTAGCTAATCAGAAAAGTGACATTCAATTACATATTTACACATGTAGAAACATTTTGTAAAGAAAAAAAAAGAAAACATTTTTAATTGTAGAAAAAAATGGAGCTTTTGATGTGTTGATAACACTAATGTAAATGCACTTTCTGTGCTTAATCAAGCAGACACACTAAATTTTCTTTTTCAATTTTCTTGAAACCTCGTTATAACTCAAAGTTGTATGATGTAAAATATTTACAATGATAATATTTTTCTGCATATATGCTATGTTGTATAATATATGAAGAAGAAAAATAAGTAACTTGTTTATCTAATCTTTCTATGTTATTCGAATATCAATTTATTCGGATTAATAGGTTATTAGATTTTTGAAAATAAAAAAATGCACATTGTAAAGATATTTGTCAGACGACTACAATGTATTTCATATTAAATATTTCATTCTAGACAATTTAATTAAGTCAAAAATGTATATCTAATTTATTTAAGTTATATTACATAATTTTTTAAAATGCCTTCAATTATATATTGCGAATAAACAATATTATCACGATGTTTTTTTATTTATAATCTTTAAAGAATAGCACTACTTTATATTTGATTGTTTCATATGACAAATGTAGAAAAAAAAAGATTAGATAACTGAACGTATGAATTGATAAGAATAAAACTTTTTTTATACGAGTACAAATATAATAAATAAAAATATTTAAATGCAATTATACATTATATGAAATAGATATTAGTTCGAACTACTTAAGAGCTGGATATACTATTAAACAAATAAGTAGTCCAATTGAAGAACACATTACAGCACTATGCATTAAATCACCAGCTGTTAATGGTGTTGGAGGAGGAACGTTCGCAGTAGATGATGTTGGATATTTCAGTTTAAGTGATACATTAGCAATATTAGCTGTACTTTGATTTGTTTTTTCCAACTATATATATATATATATATTTAAATAAACGATAGTCTCGTTTTTCGATATTAACTTTTTATTTTGTTTTTTAACTTACATAATCTTTTACTGGCCAAAATGTTCGACATTTAGGGCAAGTAAATTTTCCTGATTTGAACCATGATCGCATACATGTCTCACAAAAATTTTGTCGATGTGTACAAGTAATTAATATAATATCAGTAGGCTTTGCGTCGAAACAAACTTCACAAGAATCATCATGTTTTTGATAACGTGATGCAGAAAACACACTTAATTGATTCATTGCTATTAGCAATACTTGTTATAGACTGAATGAATTAATTTCGCGTATTTAAAATTGCTAGTGGTTCTTTTTTTCTTAACCTTTTTTATCCACTACGAATGAAAAAGAGTGACGAATATTTCAGAAAGAAAAAAAATTTGCCCACTTACATCCAAGCATAGACTATGGCGCAATAAAAAGCAAAGAATAACAGCATTTCGTTGTCATTCACCTATGTTTGTATGTATAAGGAAGTCAAAGAAAAAGAAAAAAAAATAGCCAAGATAAAAAGAAAAAAAAGGTAATGTGTTTTTGCTTTTCATAAACCATGAGGAGCAACAGGCTCGAAGGCTGGTAAGATATACATATTTTCCCAAACATGTGACAGACATACAGATGCATGAAAACGAAAAAAAATCTGAAGCGGTGTTGCAATAGCAGCTATAATTGACCATGGAATAGTATGATAAAAAGCTAATTGAAATGGATTAGCTTCATGTTTTGTTGTTGTTGTTGTTTCTTCAAACCATAAACTAAGATCAAGCATTATAAGTAATGTTATAACTTCACGTGCTGGATATTGATGTCTACTTAATCGACTAAGACGTTTACGTAATGCAACCAGAATGAAAAATGCATGAACAGTTGCTTCAATAAATTCTAAACCGAAAAATGGAAAATTTATAAATAATTTCAATTATAATATACCTAAAACAACGATTGCTATTTTAAGATAAGCAATCCATGTTGTTCGATTCTTGTTATTAAGTAATGCGAAAGCACTAAAAATTGTATATAAATAAGTTCCGGTTAATGAAACAACAATTAATACATCATCAAAACCTAAAAGTAAAAAACCGCAATTCAATATACATAGGGTAGTCAAAAAGTTCTGCAACTTTCAAGTCATTTACTCATACAGAAAACATTTTGCTAATCTTTTTACAGTGAATGTTCGAAGTAGTCCCTGTAATGTTCAGCCCAACGTTTCATCCTTTCAATACACTTCTAGAATGTCTTTAGATATTTTTGTATAGGTATTGAATTGACCTCTTTTATTATTGCTGTAGCTAAACTTGTATCATGTGGATATGTATGAAGGCTACGTTTCAAAAAAATCTAACAACCAAATATCTGAAAGAGTAAAGACAGATGTACATAGCGAATGAACTAAAGCTTAGATTATTTTCTCTTGAAAAGAATTAAAATTGAGAAAAATATCTTGCATATGTGATATTGCATTTTTACAATGCGAATTTTTACTATGTTTTTTCTTATGTAAATTTCTGACTAATATCTTCTCATGTTCATCACATCAGTTTATGTAATAACTATGTCAACGACGATAATAATCTAATCAATACTAATATGTGGATAATCATTCACTAGATCTTTAATAGCATCGACATTTTGTTGAGTAATGACGATTATTTGACGACCATTTCGAGGATCATCTTCCAACGACTCCCAAATCCTTGAGAATCGATGAAACCAATGATTAACTGTGCTATATGAAACAACACTTTATCTACAAGCAACAGTTAATTCATCATGGATTTGTGTAGCTGTTAAACAAAATAACAAACAAATTTTTATATTATGGGCGTATGTATTGTTTTTCAAGCAGAAAACAAAGGTAACTAAAAAATCGACTAAAAATTTCCCGTAACAGACACTTGTAAAAATTCATATTGGCGATTTAATACACAACAAAAGTTGCCACTAGAATAAGCCAATATGAGGGACAAAATCAGTGAGAACGAAATTTCAGAGAGCTGTTTTTAGGACTTTTTAACTAGCCTAAATAAATTTCAATTAAAAAAAAATCAATGTTTTATTTATTTCATACGTGTAGTCGTTCTCTTATATTGTAATTTTCGAATTTTCATTAATGCCCATAATGTTGCCGTTAATGAAGTAATTAATAAACTTAAATTAACAATTTCAACAATAGCAATACTATATAAAATTTTTTTCGGAGTTTTTGGTATTGATGTTAAGGGACCATGAGCTAATGGTGGTGGAGAAACAACTAAATGATGCCGAGAAGATAACGTTGTTGTTGTTATATTTGCTATTATGATTCCACGAGAATGAATTCTATTAGAATGAAAATTTTCGCCATGAGTTGTTAATGCTGATACAGCATGTATGTCATCACCAATTTTATTTCGAAAAACAGCATAAAGAATAATTGATATGACTGTACACGAAAAAACAATCATACCAGCAAATAAACCTTTAATTGATGCATGACAATTAACCATAAAAACATTTTTTGTTGATGCTTTATCAGACATTTTATAGGCAAATGTTTTACCTATATTTTCCCAAATGAGATAGAAAAGCTAAAATATAAGATCATTTGTTTGAAAATGAAAACATTCTCATGAAATATATTACAGTTAAAGACATAAGACTAAATTCAATTGTACACGGATATAGAAGAGGTTTTAGTCTCATATAACCTTCACTAATAAAAGCATTCATTTCTCGAGCTTCTTCTATTGATTGTAGACAATGATATGGAATTGTTGATGAACGATAATTTTGATTAATTGAATGATGACTCCCTTTTCATTTGTTTTTTTTTTAATGAAAAGAATATTTGATCATAGAAAAGATCAGTTTTATTTACCATTTATTGTATCACTACCACCACCGACAACATGTGCGATTGCCATTTCATGAGCACCTATTTCCAGTATTTGAGATTTTGTTTCAACTACAACCATCCGAAACCTAATAGAAAAAGCAAGTCTTGCTAGATTTTCATTTCGTTGCATTATAACATTTAACAAAACACTAAATTAAAGTATTTCAACTTGAAAATATGACTTAGGATCTTCTGAAATTTTTTATCATAACTATTTTTGTCGAGATCGTAAGAGGTATAACGAGCTATAAATTAGGTAGCAACACAATAGAAAATCTGAGGCCGAGTCGCCTCTCTCCCAGGACCTATTCTAATTTTATATACCTCGCCACAATATTATCTGATTATGTTTCTTTCACTTTATGTCAGAGAAAGGAAAATGGTGTTTCAAAATTCGGTTTCTCTCGAAAGTTACCACGAAATTGTAAAAAATTGACTGAAAGTCGAACATTTTTGAGGGCGAGGAGAAGCTCTCTTCACATCGAGAACATTGGTCAGAACTATTGTTTTACATCTGAATATTGTTATTTTACTTTGTACTCAGAGCATAACAAAAGTACTTAACGTACATAATGCTTTCATTTACGTTAGGCTAACATTTGTAGAAAATTTTTGTATATTTAAATGTAATCTTATCATAATAGAAAGTCTTCAAAGCTTTACATCTTCTCACTAATATTAAATAAATTATGTAAAGTTTCATAATATCGATAAAAATGGATGGTTCTTTATGAACTTTTTTTATAAGAAGAAAATCTTCGATATTTTCTTTATCGTCAGCAAAAAAACAAGAATTAGCGAATTTTGTTAAAACATAATGAACCTATTCTAAATTCTTGTAAAATACATGACTTTTAGAATACTATAAATATGAAATTTTTTATATTATAAAATAGATAGATCACGTACCATACACATAAATTAGTAACAACAATATGCATAACAGCTATTCGAGCGAGACCTTCATGTGCTCGAATGATTAACTAAACAATAAAACAATCGATTTATATTTTTCTATAAATTTTTTTTTTTGTTTTATAACATTTAATTTAAAATAGATATACATACATTTGAATGTTTAAAAATAAAGAAGAATTGAATAAAACTAAATAGTAATCTTGAACAATCATCCATAAGAGCTGTCCATCTTGAACAAGAACGATTTTCAAGATTACTTAATATTGATAAACCTGAATGTATAACAGTTCCAAGACAAAAAACTAAAAATCAAACACATAGTTTCTTTCAATAGAATTCCTTCAATTGTTTGTTTCTTTTCTTTTTGTTTTTTTATATTACTTCCGATTCCAACACGAATATAAAGACCACCAGCTGTCGAATGATCATCATAATTATAACCCATAACACGTTGTACAATACTATCTTTTCGATGACGTACATAAGTCCTTAAATTATGTACACCACCAGGATCTAATGCAAGACGTCTAGTTAGAACACTTCGTGTTCTATCATAACGTTTTCTTAAAGCACTTGATGATATTGCTGATACATCATCTAATGATTGTGATTTTTTATTAGTAGGACGTAAACTTTTATTATCATTATCATCATCATCTTCATCATCATTATCATTATCGTGAGTTGGTTTAAATGAACTCATTTCATTTTGTTCATTATTATTTTCATCATCATTATCTTCCGATTGAAATTCATCCGACTCATCAAATAATTGTAAATTAAATGATGGTGCTGGTGGTAATTGAGATATTTGTTCATTTGATATTACTGCTCGACGTTTATTATCTACTAAACGTGAACTAGGATTACGTGCTGGTTTATGATTTAAATCTAATCTATTGATTGCTTTTGAATTTAAATCAAATTTATGTTGATGACGAACTATATCGACTATACAAAATATTATCCAACTTATTGATACCCAATAAAGATATGTAAAATAAATCTATAACAAAATTTATATTTTTAATTTAGAGAAAAATTTTCTTTTTCAAGTTTTACCTCAGCTAAATGTCGAATATTTCCAACTTGTTCTGTTGGTATAATAGCATGTGATATTGAAAAAGCCACACCACCAATAAAAATGACTATTAAAAAAACAAACAGAATTTTTCATGAAAAATCAATAAAGAATTTGTTAAATAGAGATTAATGTTTAGGTGACCATCCTCCTCTTTTTTGACCGTTTCTGACTCTCGAAGATAGTATAAATGATCAAGCTGAAATTTTTACATAAAAAAATGAGAAGATATATGTTTCAGGAAAAAAAATTGAAGTAGCTTTTTATGATTTTCTTTTGAGAAAATCTGGTTGCTGATGACTCCTATCGAAATTTGTTCAATCAGATAGTGTGAGAGGGATCCTAAGCAACTAGAATGCTGTCCTATGAAAACCAATTTTTTCTCAGATAAAACGACAAAATTCACTTGAAAAATTCTTCTTTAAATATGTATCTCCTTATTTTTGGTATAAAAATTCCAGCTTGATCGATTACATTGTGTTCGAGAACCAGAAATAGCCAAAAAAGAGGAGACACCCTTAGGTTTGTCAATGCGTAGAGAACTGATGCCTTCTCATTTGCGAACATAAAACCTAAATTCAAAAACTACTTAACTCTATTTCAATGAGTTTTTTTCAAATTTTAGTTATTTAAATAAAAGAACAAAATGAAGTTTCAGATTTTCGTCTTTTTATTCTTGAAAATTTACTCATAATAATTCTAAGAATACTTATACATTCACTTTTAATTTTAACTAGCTGCAGCTTATAGAGTTCACTAAATATCTCATTGCACTATTTCGTTTTACCACACCTTTCGAATCACTTTATGAATTCTATAGAATGAAAAAAGTTATAACAAAAATCGATTATGACATAAAATTATTTTAGTAATAACTATTAATCATATACTATCTCCCGAGTACAAAAATACTGTTATTTAACTGAGTGACGTTTTTTTGAAGTATATATCAGATATTTCTAGAATGATTAATTAGAATTTTTCTCAAATATTGCTAATGAACTACAGATAGGTTTAGCACTATTTTTCTTTCAATAGAAAATTCAGATTGTAATAAATGCTAATCAAAATTTCAAGACATAGAATAAGTACTATTTAAAATAAATTTTATTTTCTCTTTTGTATTTTGATTGCCCTATATTAGTTATAAACTAACTAAAAAGAAATCTCTTCATATCTAATTCATACTTACCCAAACCATAAAGTATGCTGAGGATTTTGTAAGCATCTATATTTTCGGCATTGCTTCTATAGACAAAATAAAAAAATAAAAATAATAATAGAACTTGTTCAGTATAAAAACAAAACACAATTTTCAAAAATCAACACAAATCTCGAATGTAGATTCTCATGATGATTCTTTCTTACTTTGTTTTTCGTTCAATTTATATGCTTATACTGAGCTGACATGATACAAGATATTGACTCATTGAATTTACATTTTAATATAAACTTTAAACACTCAGATTACTATTTACTATAGAATGTTCATTTGTTTTAAGATCATCATTTATCAAAACAAATGAAATAAAAGTTCTGCATGAATTTTGATTTTTGATGTAGCGCTGCAATGCAATATCGTAAAGACTTCATGCTATTTTGTTTTGAAAATGTTTTCAGAAGGGTACAAAAATTTTACGAAGAAACAAGTTTAAGAGGACACTCATAAGGATGTCAAGGAGCTGAAGCACTGATCAATATTTTTATTTTTGAATTTTTATATTATTCGGAAGGTTATCATCTGAAACTATCAAACCCAAAATTTTATCTCATTTCAATATTTTATTATAAAGTTAGCCTTGATCGACTTTTCATCCTTATCTACCTATTATCAAAAACATGGTGATTAAGCGTTTCGTAAATATCTTCTAAAATAATACTTACGCAAGGCAGAAAATTTCTTCATATGATCCATTAAAAGATAGATTATCAATAGCTAAAAAATGGTCTTTTTAAATTATTGCATATCATTGATTTACTAAGACGATGAGTGGAAAATGTGATAGTTAAATAATCTATAATATCCGTTTGTTGACAGTACCTTTACTGTCATTTTTTTGAAGTCAACTGATATCAAACTGAATTTTTTAAATGCTATGCAACCTTTAGTTCTCTACAAAATAGTAAAAAGGTATTGAGAAAGAAAAGTTTACCCTCAAGGTAATATGAGGCTTGCACTCTCAATAGCAATGTAAATAGCCTTAAGAAAAACATTGTCGGCCATTTTTCAATGTTCTTTATTGATGACAATTTTCATCTCGTAGATACTCGAACTTGATCCAGACTAGAATTATATGGATAGTTCGCTCAAAAAAAGAACGCAAAAATTTTCGCGAAATCTGAAAACAATCATCCATTTACTTGAAACAGAATTCTGATCACAACCATAAGATTAAAGTTCATTATTATTGGTAATTTTGTAGCATAGGATTGACTTCTGAATCTCATACGCTTGTCATGGATCCTCTAGTTCTTCATTAAAAAGATGCTCTGTATATAGTACTAGCTAACAGATGAAAATAAACTTCGATCATGTGACCGTGATCAGCATTCAATGTTTTATCGAAATGAATGGTTATTATTGAATGCCACAAAAAAAGCTATTTTTCGAAATACTCGCGGTATCCGTCTGGGATATAGGGGTCGAAATTTTTTTTCTTTCGTTTTTCGAAAGACCTATCAATATGATTCTAATCAGGATCAAGTTCGAATTTCTAAGAGACTCAAGTTATCATGAAAAAGAACATTGAAAAGTGTCCGACAATGTTTTCCTTAAGACTATCTACATCGCTATTGAGAGTGTAAGCCTCATATTACCTTGAGGATAAACTTTTTTTTCGATATCCTCTTACTATTTTGTAAAGAACTAAAGGTTGCATAGCATTTAAAAAATTCAGTTTGATATAGTTTGATTTTTAAAAAAGAGACAGTAAAAATACTGTCAACAAACAGATATTATAGACTATTTAATTATCATATTTTTCACTCATCTTGTCTTAGTAAATCAATGATATACAATAATTTAACTAGCCCATTTTTTAGCTATTGATAATCTATCTTTTAATGTATCATATGAAAAAATGCTCTGACTTATAGAAGTATCATTTTGGAAGATATTTATGAAACACTTAATCGCTATATTTTTGATAATAGGTACATGAAGATGAGAAGTTGATCAAGGCTAATTTTACAATAAAACATTGAAATGATCTAAAAATTTAGGTTTGATGGTTTTAGAAGATGCTCTATCAAGTACATATAAAAAATAAAAATATTGACCAGCACCTCGGTTTCTTGACTCTTTTATGGGCAAAGTTCATCGCATTGGTTCGGATCTGAATCTCAAAATTTTTGAACTTAACGAGCTCTAGCTATGGTTGCTCTCTTAAATATGTTCCCTTGTAAGACTTTTGTACTCTTTCGAAAACATTTTTGATCAGAGTTTTTCATATATTTGTGATCTAAACATTTTATTCTAACTAGGAACCTGCGGGTCCTTCTAGATCCGGATTCAAAGTTTTTATATTTTTCTCGGGCGCGGGTTCAACCTTTTATTTTTTGTCGGACATGGTTACTCATTTTTGTGAATCCGTTGCTCCCTAGATGGGAAATATAGTAACAAGATATAACTGTACGTTAAGTTTTTTTCTACGAGAGTAGCGAATAAATCGCTCAAACCTTGATCCTTTACTTGTTCGTGTACACGAAGGATGAGAGATATTGATGAGAAAAACCTCGGGTTTAGACCCGGATCTATAGAAAACATGAATCCGTAGATCCCTAACTCTAGCACAAAACAAAAAAAAGTCAAGTATCTACAATATTGCATTGCAACACTATAGAAAAAATAATAATAATAAATGCAGAACTTTTGTCCCTATTCATTATGTACAAAGAAAAATAATACAAATCTTGTACCATTGTCTATCATAAATAATAACTGACGCGAGAAAATATAAATAGAAAATACGGAAACATCTACCTTTTGTGTTTATGAAATTTGGATGTAAGTTTTTGTTGTATTTCATTTTCACTCTTAGCCATTTGTGTATATATATTATATATATCCACGTGTTTAAGGTGAAAACATTACTTTCGAATAAATCATATGTATATTTTATGTATCATCAAGTTATTAGACACATTCCTTGCAATATGATTTATCATTTCATTACTTATATAGAAGCCTTCGATTTTTGTCGTTCTCTTGTTGTATCTTTTTTTTTTACAAGTGAATGCCTATTTTACATTACATAGAAAATGAGAAATATGTTTCTTTTCTTCGCTTACATATCTTTTTGTACATGCAATTGTCCAACTAAATTAAGATGAAATATTGCGACTATTATATACTTGAGTAATGTTTTATTCACTCTATATTGATATTCGTTTATCCTCTTGAAAATAAAACTTTTTCGTTAGAAAGATTGCTTCTGTTTTGTATGAAAGATTTTCTTTTATTCGGATAGAATAAGCATCTCACATATGTTTATATTTTTCGTTTTTAATAAATAAAAATGAGAAGAAAAACAAGGTAACATTATTACGATGGTCATGTGAAACTCTTTCTCATTAGAGTTTTATTAAGGAAGAATGACTACAAATTTGCCCATGACAGATAGTTATCATCATGTTCGCACTTGCATGCTCTTTTTTTTCGCATAATATAAATGTACTCAAGTGACAAAAAAATAGTAATTTATTCTTTGTTGTTTTGGTTTGAAATTTTGTCAAAGGTTCTTTTTTTCTTGCAAGTAATAGAAGAAAAAAAAATAAAGTAATTTTCATAGAGTCCTTACAAGAACTATAATGTCTAGTGTGATTATTTCGAGTTCAATAGTAAAAGAAAGACATATAGGAATAATTAATTCTCAAAAGACAAATTAGCTTGTTTTTTGGAAAATCGTACTTTAACGTTAGCAATTAAATTTAAAATAAAAATAGTTTTCAAGTGTGTTATAAAATATTTGAGCAACTCCAGATATCAAAGTGAACAATAAAAAAAACTTAGCATAAGAATTAACTAAATTTAAATGAGGTTTATTGGTTTTACTCGATAAACTCATATGTTTTGAGATAAAAAAATCGAGATCTTCTTGAGTTTTTACGAATATGATCAATAGTCGATCAAAGTTAGCTACGGTTATTTATCATAGTTATTCATATCGCAGATCATTGATTGAATCTGCAATATATATGTATATGTATATATGTCAAAATATGATCACTGTAACGGAAAATTGACAGTTAATGATAAAAAATTTTCTATTATTTCATATATTTTGTCAATGTACAGTCAAAAAAAATAATTATTCTTTTGATCTATTCTCATTAATATCTATGATGTTTTTTTTCTATTTGAGTCAACATTTTATAAAATCAATAATAATTGACTAACATCTGCTGAAAGATAGCTACACAAATATCTAAACAGTTATATCGTAACACTTATTCATTTTTAATAGATAACGTGATATAAAACAAATGTATCTAATATTAATCAATCATTTAAGCGAAAAATATCAAAATTGCATTTTATGGGCACTATTTATCGTTCGATCAATTGATTTGATTTGATTGAAATAAGCAATCATAAACCACAACAAAAATACAACTAATAAATCGTCTTTTTTTTCACATACCCTTTAAGTGTAAATGGATGATTTGACCAATACGATTGTCTTAATAATGCACCTAATCCATATTGTCTTTGTGTATTGAAAATATGATCATTCTCTTTATGAATATCATGTAATCGATCATTATCTATAGGATTATGTTTTAATTCAATATTGTCTATTAAAGGTGATGATTCTGTTGTTGGAACAACAATTGATGGAATAAGTTCTGTTTTATCATCATCTTCATTTATCATAGGTGTATAATAAACACTTGAACGCGATGATATTGATAGAGGTCGACATGAAGAATTTGATGATTTAAGAATACCATGATTTACACATGGAAGACTTAAATTTGAAGGTATACGTTTACATGTTGGATTAGATTTTTGAATAAATGAAGAAGTACGACGTGGGATATCAGAATTATCTTTTGTTTTTTTATTTGGTACTTCCAAATAATTCATTGGAATGTTCGATGTTGTTGACATAGTATGTTCTTTAAAATACCTTATCTTTTGATAGATTTTAATAACTTACTCAATGCCTATTTCCGCTTTGTTACAATAAAAACGATATGACAATCTTTTCCTTTTTTGATTGTTTCTCTCTGATTTTTACTATGTGATTGAGTGTAGTAGTAAGTGTTACTTCAATCGTTATATATTTAACAACAAAAAAAAAAAGAAAGAAAATATGCACGCTTCATATGATTTTATGATGACATACAATGGTGGGTAAGAAAAAGAAAATAAATCGATTCACATAATAGTCCATCATCATTGGTTTTTATCCAGTAGAAATTCATTTTAATTATTTACAATGGGAAATGTTTTGATATAGTTACTGATTTCTTACTACTGTAATTCATCGAGACTGTTCGATAGATATTTAATGTAATGTTTACGAATGATGAATTTGGTATTGTTTGAATATATTGAGTATTTAAAAGAGAATTGTTCGTATTCTTATTGTTGATATAGTTTCATGCATCAAATATTTCATGAAAAGATATAAACTATATAGGAATATAAAAACCAATGATCTTCATCAATAGAAAGAAAATAAAAGACAAACGAGTTGCGGTTGTAAGACTTGAATGAAGAGCTAGACGAATCTTTATTAATATTGGAAATTATAGGTAATTGCACATTAATAATTGTTCACATCGGATGTTGTCTATCAGTAATAGATCAATCGTATCAGCAGAGGTTCATATTTTAAGGATATTCTTCGGTATTAAAATATATGAATGGGTTTTTGTTTTTTTCTCGATACTTTGCTATTCATCTTTAAAGGATTTTTTTCCGCCTTATTTTACTTTTATATTTTATTTCCTATCGAATTCTTTTTTTATATTCATTTTTTATGATGTGACATAAATCATAATCGTCTCAATTCATTGATGTACTGAAGTTGTTTTTTTAACAAAATCAATTATGTAATTTGCTTATAAAGAAAACGATTTTTTTTCCTTTTTTTATAAAAAGAAATATTTAGCTCTATTGTTCTATAAAATCGGTACTTTTTACCACTCAGATTGATCAAATGAATATTCTTGACCATTTTGCAACAATAAATATAGAAATGTCGTGTTCACAAGGCACGGGAAGTAGGTATCAAAATCGTATTTTTTATCAAAAAAATCTCGTAAAATAAAAAAAAGAGAAAGTTCAACATTCACTCGCTTTCAAAAAACTATATTTACACTTTCCGTCGCCACATCTCTGAGTAAATACTGGCAAAGAGATGAATTTTCAGCAGTAAACATACTGTATTTTATAGTAATCCTGCCCATAGTAGTACGGTATCATATTTTCGTTGAATACAGACAGTCAAATATGTGTGTTAATGTTTTTGCAACACAGTCGTATTTCTGTATTCAACATTGTAACGATGTAACACCCGTTTACACATCGTATTTTCAAGGTAACAGAGCGTTTTTTTACCTGGACAGGAACAAAAACATCGAATATTTTGAAATGTATTTCCAGGGTTATCCTGAGTTGAGAAGGAGTTACACTTCAATTTTGAGAAATTTTCGTTTTCTCCGAGTGAAGTTCCAGCATTTTATTCGGTTTTTTTGCTCATAAATTCTAGAAAGAACACTCGAACCCTTCCAATCGTGATGATCTCAGCATAAGTCTGTTTAGTTCTCGAGTAACTTCATTACTACAACAAAATTGAAGTCATAATAAATTAGTGACAAAATAGCTAAAACTATGCAAAAAAAAACAAGGAATCAAAGTAATACAGAAATATTACTGCAGTCCATTCCACAACAAAAAACAATACTCTAGTTGATATTAATGGTGGATACTACTAATTATTTAAACCCAATCTTGTCCAAGATAGTAGACTAAAACTAAACATCTTCAAAGAACAAAGCAAAAGGAAAAAATTTTGCTTTCTTATTAATAATGACATGATTTTATTGTTTAGCAAACTTATAGTTTAGTTTATTCGAATTGTGATTGTCGCTAGTTTACAATTTTCTTATTGGAATCTTTTATCCAATGATATGTATATATATAAATAGAATAATAATAATAGTCATCGATGTATATATCCTTGTACTAAACTAGTTTATTTATCAGAATGATGTTTTCCACTGATGGTTTTTTAACTGATCAATCATTAAGTAAAAATTCCGGTCAAACACATTTGTTTACATCATTTCCAGATTCTGCAGTTGATCTTGATGATGATGAGAATGATCTTTCATCAGAAAATAAGTCAAATACTAATCAATTATATGGATATAATCCATCTAATGAACAACATTCATCTCTTCCATTACCAATAACAACAAATAATATAAAAAATGAACAATTACATATATGGCAAATTGAATATTATCAAAAATATTTTCAAATTGATACACAACAAGTACTTGAACGTTTACTTGCTTCAATAACACCACAACCAAATAAATCTTATTTTAATTCAACAATTCGACATAATCCTGATTTATATGGACCATTTTGGGTATGTATTACATTTATTGTAACTGTAGCTATTAGTGGAAATATTGTTACATATTTTCAATTACCTGATGCTGAGTTTCAAATTGATTTTTCCAAAATTACTTTATCAGCAATTGTAAGTAACACAAAACAAAAAACATTGATGTTTTTTTGTTTTGTTTTTTTTCTTAATGTAAAAATTGATTTATCTATTTCTAGTTTATCTATCTTTATTGGTGGTTAATGCCAACATTTATTTATTGTTTCTTTCGTTATTATCTTAAACGTAATGACTATACATTTCTTGAATTACTTTGTATTTATGGTTATAGTTTAACAATATTTATTCCAGTTTCTATTTTATGGATCATACAAATAACATGGTTACAATGGTTATTAACAATAATAGGATCATTAATAAGTGGAAGTGTTTTAATTGTTACATTTTGGCCAACAGTTAATAATGGACATCAACGTTTTAATGCCTTATCAATGTTAGTTATACTTTTCGTACATTTATTAATGGCTATTTGTATTATGTTAGTATTTTTTCATATATCAGATAAAAATATTAATATGAAAATAGATACAACTATGTTAACGACTATGACATCATCAACAAAGAGTAATGTTTAATCTTATATTTTACATTTCTCTAATAGATATGATTTATTCTTATTAATGTTGTTATTGTTATAGAAGTAGAATAAAGAATATTTTAAAAAAATAATAAAGAATGTATTACTGTTGTCTTCTTTTTTTCATATGTAATCTTCAATTGTAAAGCAAATTTGTTGTGACAAGTTAACTATTGTAAATTTTAAAATCCAAAAGATCTGAACTCTAATTTAATATATTGAAGATGTCATGTATTATTACCCTTTGTGTCTTTAATCACTATAAAAAATCGAATTAATTTTTTGTTGTAGATATTTTTTTATCAAATGAATAATAATTCAATTATCTAAATTATTAACTGTATTATTTTAGATTTAGATTAGACTGCATTCTTTTCCAAGTATTAGAGTAGTTTTCTTGACAAGGAGGTTCTATGATTTTTTTTCTATGACTTCTGTAATAGATGATGTGACGAAATTTTTACAACGTTCTTTCATTTGCAAATGTTCGAGCTAAGAAATAATATAGGATGTGAATTTCCTTATCGGTAGTGTTTCATCCAAATGTTTTCTTCTGGAAGAATGAAACTCTATCCTATATAAAATACTGATGAGAAGGTTCAAAATTTGATTTTCTACAGACTCAAATTTTTTTTCAATTTAAGATGATAGAACAAAAATGAACTTATAGATTGTTTTTATGTGACTTAGTGAATGACTTCTAGTTTTCATAGAAATAGTTTTCATTTTTTTTTAAAGTTCTTTTGAAGTATTTGATAGACACCTAAAAGGCTTCATACTTATAAATAGACTTCATGTTAAATACGCTATAGTTTATTACTGACAAGTGTTCGACAAACAATCTATACTTATATAGTAAAAATCATTTGCCTGAGAGTCTACAACTGAAGAGAAAATCCTTGATTTTTTTTTACAATTTTTGAGTTATTTCCCATTAACTCGTTTTTTAAAACATTATTTTAACTTTGAGTAAAACGGCCGATCAATGATGTAGAAATTTCTAGGAAAATCAACTTGATCTAGTGATAGATGTTATTTATGGAATATTTCTTTTGAAAACAAATAATCCAATGAAGAGAAGATCGTTTTTCTCAAAATAGTATGTTTTGTCGAATCAAAAGAATGCATATTAAAAAGTATTATATTACATATCATCGATATTAATCACATAATAGAGTTCATAATTCCATTTTTTTTTTGTTTCATCGTTTTCGACGAATAAGAATTTCTAGCGAATTGAATTCTGTTTTTTTATTTCACTCGAATACTTTCAAATGAAAAAATATTGTGTCATTAAACGGAACGATTTAGACTAAGAACATGAATAAAGTTTAGAACAGGAGATTAATTGAGACGGAATGTGGACTTTTCATCAGAACTATGGTTCTTTTAGAAAACAGTTACAATGTATTATATCCTATCAATGAATAAATCTAATTACTTAAATAAATCCTAGTAGAATCTCCTAGTTAGTTGAAATATTAATATAATATGATAGACAAAGGAGCGATAAACTCCGATATGAATAAATTTTTATCATTGATTGATTTACAAAAGAATTTCCTGTTCAGTTTTTCAATATTGTTTAAAGTCGCTTTGAGAGCAAAAACCTGTAGAATAAAAAAAAATAATGACTTTAAACACTATATCTTATGGAAAACAGATCTGAATAGTAGTGAGCACAAGAAACCTTCCTCATTTCAATCAATGCCATCGCTTTTTCGATTGTACTCAACATCTAAGTGTTTTTATAGAACTTATTTTTTCTATTATTTTTAGATAAGAGCATAGATAGGAAATATGCCACCAAAAAAGAAAGAAGAAGCTAAACCAAAGCCATTGATTGGTCGAATTGGTACTAATCTTAAAATGGGTATTGTTGGTTTACCAAATGCAGGGTTAATATCAATTAGAATTTTCGATGACAATAATTTTTTTTTATTTATTTCTATTGTTTTATTGTAGAAAATCAACTTTTTTTAATATTCTCACTAAATCGAGTGTACCTGCTGAAAATTTTCCTTTTTGTACGATCAATCCAAATGAAAGTAATAGAAAAATGATGAACTTTTGTTAGCAATTATACGACATTATTTTAGGTCGAGTACCTGTACCTGATTCACGCTTTGATTTTTTATGTCAACATTATGAACCATTGAGGTATTTCCTATATAAACTTCTTCAATTAGTTATATTTTTTTATTTTTTTCTCGCAGTAAACAACCAGCATATCTCAATGTAAAGAAAAAAACAGCATTAATCTTTTTTTTTCTATTTTAAATCTCTATTAAATTTAGGTAGTTGATATTGCTGGTCTTGTTAAAGGTGCAAGTGAAGGTCAAGGTATGAAATAATTGTCAATTGTTTTACTAACACATAATGTTTATCATAGGTCTTGGCAATGCATTTCTTTCACATATAAAAGCATGTGATGGTATATTTCATATGGTTCGACTTTTCGATGAAGTTGATATAGCTCATGTCGAAGGAAATGTTGATCCAATACGTGATATGGAAATAATTCATGATGAATTAAGGTTAATATATTTAAGGAAGAATAAGGAAAAAATCCTGTTAGCACAATCCCTGAGAGATTAAAATGTGAAACACGATGTATCTACCCTTGCTAATCACAGGAAGATTATTGTTGGTTGATATTTCTTTATCATCTTCTTTATTTAATCCTCCATAAATGCAATACAGAAGTAGTTCATATTTTATAACAAAACGTTGTTAATATACGATCGAGCACCGTATATCAATAACGTCTATTACAGTCTGTGACAATGAGAGTAAAGTTACTAACGAGAGAATCTCATCAAATGTTACTTTTCGTTTTCCTATGGATACAATATCATACTCTAATAAAAATCTTAAAAGAATTTCGATTCCTATTAAGATTTGACTAAGAGATCAAATTTCTTATATCTATATTGTCTAGGGGCCGCCGCTTTCTAGAGGACTCGTATTGTCGAATTTCGATCTGAAACTTTGCGCACATAGAAAATTGAATTAGACTAACTTCCATAAAAAGAATTAAGAATTTTTGAAGAGTCTCTTCGAGATATGAATCTGTAAAGATATAGACCTTTTGCATGGACAGTACAGAGAACATGAATTTTTTGAAAACTTCATATCTCGTTTTGGAAGGTGTTCTAGTTGAATTCTCTATATATACAAAGCTTTAGATCAAAATACAAAAATAGGAGTATTTTGAAAGCCTAGAGCCTCTATACAACAGGCATATAAACATTTCAATAGCTTAGTCAAATATCAGTAGGCAAAAAGTTATTGAAATTAGAAGAAAACATCTGAAGTGGTGTTCTTATAAGACATCTATCACAGTCCGAGAGGGGAGATGAGTTCAAATTTTTACTTCAATACTCCATTTAGATCGTGTTTCACAAAAAATCTAGTTTACAATAATGTTTTAATTTAGATTAAAAGATCTTGAAATGACAAAAAAGGTTGCTGAAGATTTAGAAAAAAAGGTTGTACGTGGAAATGATAAAGCATTAAAAATTGATTATGTAAGATTGAAATTTTTTTTTCTTAAATTCATATGTCATAACTTAAATTCTTGTTCTTGTTTTCTTGAAATAGGAAACAATAAATAAAGTTTTACATCTATTAAATGAAGAACGAGGTAGTCTTCGTTTTCATGATTGGAATGAAAAAGAAATTGAAGTACTTAATAAACATTTATTTAATACATCAAAACCAATGATTTATTTATTAAATATGTCAGAAGAAGATTATATTAAGAAAAAAAATAAATGGTTAGGTAAAGTTAAACAATGGATTGATGAACATGATCCAGGTGCAACTGTAATACCATTTAGTGCTAATTATGAATATCGTTTAATTGATTTACCACATGATGAATGTGAAAAAGTTATTAAAGAAACCGGAGCATCAAGGTAAATTATTTTTTAAGTGAATTCGTTTTTTTTGTTCTATTTTATGAAAAATTAATTTAGTGGTTTGGAAAAAATCATTCTGGCTGGTTATCGAGCATTACAATTATGTTATTTTTTTACATGTGGAAAAGATGAAGTTAAAGCATGGACAATACAAGTTGGAACAAAAGCTCCACATGCTGCTGGACGTATTCATACAGATTTTGAAAAAGGTTTTATTATGGCTGAAGTTATGAAATATGATGATTTTAAAGAACATGGAAGTGAAAATGCAGTTAAAGTATGTAGAAGAAAAAAAAACTGCCAACAACAACAAATTTGAATAATCATATAAAATTTATATTAAAATTATTTTTTAGGCTGAAGGAAAATATCGACAACAAGGAAAAAATTATACTGTTGAAGATGGTGATATTGTTTATTTTAAAGCAAACACTGGTGGTGGTTTAAATGCATCAAAAAAATAGGCTCAATTGTTCTTCGCTTTGTTTTTGATTTGTTATGCTCTTTTTCTTTTTGCATCCTTGTTTTCTCATAAAACCTTGATAAGTCTAACATCGTTCGGAAACTGCGAAGCAATATGTTTCCGGAGTTATCCATTACTGTAGCAAGCATTTTTTTTTCTCGTTTGAAGAACAATATCATAAGAAGAAAAAACCATTTCGATATCATAAAAATATAATATTGAAACGTTTGAAGTTCTATTCAAATAATGTAATCTTAATGATTGTTCTAAACTAGTGATACGGTATATATATATATATATATGCATTAAGTAGAATGTCATTCAGCAATTGTACAACCAATTAATTATTCGAAAACTCAAGTGATGTGGTCAGCACGTGCGGTGGGCTATCCAAGCCCGATGCCCGCTCTCAAATGTGGAGAACATGCAATAGAATGGGTGAAATCATACAAGTACCTAGGATACTGGATAACGACAAAACTCGGCTGGGGCCAAGTCATTAGCCGTACTCAAATTAAAATTCGTCAACAAATCGCTGCGGTAAACTCGATTAGAATCGGAGGCTCAACGTCGACTGTGTTGCGGCGAGTTCTTTTTTCAACATTTGTACTACCATTCTTCACATGGCTTCATGCGCTATATCCTTTGTTTACTGATCTACAACGAACAAATCTTAACCACTTCTATTATACATCACTTAAACGAGTATACTACTGTCTGTACTGGAATGATTTATTTTTCGCATTTGCGTATGGCGAACGTTCTCTCGATGATCTATGTTATGCATATTGGACTAAATATTTGAAGAGACTCGCGAAGTCTTTGGATGGTTATTTGCTGCTAGAGCAATCCTGTCTGAATGTAAACCGTTCGGAGTGGCAAGAAGGAAAAAGATTGATTCGTGCTCTTTATCGTTCCAAACGATTTGTCCCACATATAGACGTATTTGGTCGTGTTTTAGAGTGGTTATCAAATCACGGTTCAGCAGACTCAGTAGTGATTATTGATGTGGAAGATATAAGATGCTATGCGGAATTCCCAGAGACATTCTAGTGTCATCATTCTTTCCCTAGTTGCACTATAAATTGTCTACTTGAGAATTATCCTTTCGCAAATTTATGTCAGTTCCCACCTGATATGTTACACTTATTTTGTTTCTCTCAGATAATTTGCCTGGTGCCTCTTCTATTCTTTTTCTTCCTTGCTTTAAATCTTTTTCTCCTTTTTCTTTTCTCTTGTTTCTTTTTTTTGTGTTTCTTTCTATTACTATCATGTACGCATGTTGTTAAATGGCTGTCCCTTTAGGACCTTTTGGTCAGAGGGTAAATAAAAGGCTAATAATCAATGTCATTCAGCAATGTGCGGACATATGTCCTGATAATATGAATAAAGATTTCATTTGTAGGATGTTATATATAAAGATGTTTCAATATATATAAGCAAAATGGGTCGTCAATGAGTTCACCACGGGTAAGTGTTTAGGTCGTCTGACATATATCTAAAAGATACTGTTCTTAAACCTCTATAACACTAGCCATGGAATGATTCTAGACAAGTCACAAACGGCTATTTGTCTTGTATCACCCATATGATAGCATGCTGACTATATTGTAATGTAAATCTGCTGTTGTGATTAGTTAATGTTTATGGGTGCTCAAGCCATTGAGCACAACAACTCTGCATCAGGTTGGCCTTCTGTCCAAAGCTACAACTAGTTATAGTTGTACGGAAGATATAGAGCCACTGCATTTGCCTCTATGCGGCCCTTCATACCGTAAGACAGCTGAAAGACAAGGGTATTCGTCCTTCTTCCATTTGTTAGCCACATATTACAAAAAAATCAATGCTAGAGACCTTCATTCAGAAGTGTTATCAAGGAAAAAACTAGAGTTAGCGACATGACACCAACAAAAACATTAACTTTCACTTCATGCATTTTAGTTTAAAAACCTCAAAATCATGGCACCTTCTTTTTTGAAAACTAAATAATACAATCTATAGACAACTCCTGAAATTACACATCTCTACGTCAAATTTTTTTTTGGAGCATCAAAAACCAATTTTCAATATTAAAAGTCCTTCTTCAGGATCTCTAGAAAACCGGTTTTAAGAAGAAGACTTCTTGAAGTTCGACCTGGCGAAAAAATTCACCATAGATGCTGTTCTTGCCATTGCTTATTCTGAAACTTTCAGATTTTTTTCTCCTCTGGTTAAATAGATATTTGCTAATCACTTTTCAATTAATAGTCAACTGAAAGACTAAACATTTTGCTTATGTCTATGTTAAAAGAACTGATTCAGAAAAAAGATCCTTGTAAATAATCAAATTCAAACGAAAGGTATATGTATTCATTGAACTAAAAATACTTGTGCAGTAAGTGTGTGAAAGAGAAAAAGGTACGTATAAGGAGGAAACTGACAAAACAAATTATATTCTAAATCAAAAAGAACTTATTGTTCAAGAAAGAATCAATGATGAAATCCAATAAGATTTTAAAAAATTGTCACCATCTGGAATATTCTTATATAGACAATTCTTCTTTTTTTTTCAGATAAAATAATTTCGGAATAGACTCGATAGTAGTTTCCTAATCATTTTAGATATGTCGTGGAATTCCGAAAATTTTTTTTCTCCCTCTACATATAATCAACAATATACTGGGTCGATATCTTATGATTTTCAACAACAAAATTATTCTCCTGTTCAGTCATATGCTCAATATTCAAACGATAATTTTATACCATCACCTTATAATTTTAATTCTCAAGTAAATAATAATCAATTTTATCGTCCAAATGATTATATACCACCAAAAACTGCTTCAAATCAACATGACGATGAATATGATGAACCACCATTATTAGAAGAATTAGGTATTAATTTCGATCATATATTAAAAAAAACAAAATCTGTTTTGAATCCATTTACAACACCAGATTTATCAATACTTGATGATGTTGATCTTGCTGGTCCACTTGTATTTTGTTTTGCATTTGCATTTAGTCTTTTATTATTAGGAAAAATAAATTTTGGTTATGTTTATGGTATTGTTACATTAGGTACTGTTGGTATGTATGGTCTATTAAATTTAATGGCATCATCAGATAAACCATGTTCTGGTTTATTTGTAACAAGTGTACTTGGTTATTGTCTTTTACCTATGGTTTTTCTATCGTTTTCATCATTTTTATTTAAATTTAATGGTTTTTTTAATATGATAATTGCAATAATATTTATTTTCTGGTGTTCAATATCAGCATCAAAACTTTTTACAACATCATTAGCTATGATAGGTCAACAATTACTTGTTGCATATCCATGTGCTTTATTTTATGGTGTTTTTGCTTTATTAACCATGTTTTAAAGATAAAATAGGAAAAAGATTAAAGAAAAAAAAAACATTGTCCTTAGTTTAATTATTATTTAGTCAATTCGATTTTTTTGCTGCTAATGTTGGATCTGATAATGATTTACTTCTTGGAGATTTGAATTTCAATTGTTTTTTAAATAAATTTGTAGAATTTTCAATTTTACTTGCACGTTTATTTAAACTTGATTGACAATCAATTAATTTCATTATTGTTTTATCACTTTGAACAATATTAATAAATTCACTTTTTGTTACTGAATCAAGAAGTTCAGTATTTGTATTATTATCTTGATGTGCTAAAAGTAATTGTTTAACACGAGTTATTGCTTCATCATATGTTTCAATTCTTGCCATATCAGCATCAGATAATTCATAAAGTGCTTGAATTATATTTTCAAGTTCGGTTGTATCAAGTTGATGATCACTGTCTAAAAAATAAAGTTAAATTAGCAAAAACTATAGAATGATTCATAAGTTACTCGATAGACTTTGATTGTCATTAGTATAAAATAGAAATATCAGAGCTTTCATCGGCTTTATCATTGCAGGGTTAAATTTATAATTCAATAATGTCAATTTAACTTCTATATCATCTTCATAGAACTATTAGTATTACTCTACATCTCATTGATTAACAAATCGGTTTTCAACCGATATTTTTGAATCATATACAGAACTATGCAGTAACACAGCCTGATTTTAATAATGAAAATCACAACTCTCTATATTATACAATTTGCAATCAAAAACTACCAGATGACTTTTTGAATCATCTTATATATAACATTTTGATTAAAAAGTTGATAATTTGGAGAGAAAAAAAAATCGACAAATTTTTAGAAATAATCATAATTGCATGAGAGGAGTATGTAAACGATTGTTTTATAGTTGACGAATAGAAAGTAGAAAATTTTGTGAATATTGACAATGAATGACATAGACATACAATTCTTAATGAAACAAACATTGATTTGAATTATGATTCAATTATATTGATCAATGATTTTCTTTTAATATATATCATCTAGACTTTTTATTCTAAAGCATATTTAATTCTATAAGAATTTTGTTCAAGATCGATTAACTAGATTCTCATTGCTCTATATTCTAAATGATACATATATTCCTAAGAGTTTCGTTTATGATTTAATTTAAACATCGTAACAAACGTTCGATATATGTATCGCAAAAAAAAATAAAACTTGTTAACTCAAGCGAAATAAGTTGTCTTAATTCAATTTGCTAATATTTCAATGATGTATTCAATTAACTACTAATCGATTAATAAGTTAATCTTATATATATATTTTTTTTAATTTCTTTTGGGAACTTAATTTAATCAAAGCATGTTTTAATATGATAATGTGAATAATAATCATCTTTTCATTTATATTAAACTAAAAATAGAAATTTGTAATGAAAAAAATTTTTTTTGTTCGATAAATCATATTTTATAATTACCTTGATCACATAAATCAAATGCCCATCGAATTTTTTCATTTGCTGATGCTTTAGTTGTATAATATAAACCTTTAATAAATTCTTCGAAATCAACAATATCATCATGATTTGTATCATATGCATTAAAAGCATATTGAGCAAATTTTTCTGAATCACCATTACGAAATAAAGTTTGATAAAATTTTTCAAAATCACCTAATGTTAAATAACCAGTTGGAGTATATTTAAGAAAATCATAATAAAAATATTGTATTTCATCAGGTAAAAATGATGTTGCCCTTGTTATACGACGAATAACAGCTTCTTCAAGTTGAGGTGTTGTTAAATGTCGACTTTTCTTCTGACCCATTTTTATTTAAATTGAATATTATGATTATAAATAAAAATATTTTCTACATTATATATTCAATATTAACACAAGAAAGAAAAAAAAATTAAATAAATTAATTCATCATCTGTGACATTAATTCAACCTTGAATGTATAGAAAAACACTTTCTTTTTTCTTTTTTTTTGGTATTCTTTAATTCTGTTTTTACCTGTCATCAAAAAAAAAAAAGACACAATTCGCATTTCAATGAGTCAATTTATGAAATAGATAAGTAAGAATATATTGAATACCTTAAAAGGTTATATGCTAATTATTTTACTAGACTATATATAGAGAAAAAAAAAGGAAAAACTAATATTCAAATTAATATTATTATAATTTTATTCTTAACATAATTCACCTAATATGTTTTTCGATACAATCAATCAATTAAATCCAATTGTGATTGATAATGGTTCTGGTATGATCAAAGCAGGTTTTAGTGGAGAAGATGCACCACGTACAGTATTTCCAGCTGTAGTTGGCCGTTCACGTTATAATACTATTATGACTGGTATAGGTCAGAAAGAATCATATATTGGTGATGAAGCATTATCAAAAAAAGGTATTTTAACACTTCGTTATCCAATTGAACATGGAATTGTTATAAATTGGAATGATATGGAAAAAATTTGGCATCATACATTTTATAATGAATTACGTATTCTACCAGAAGAACATCCAGTTCTAATTACAGAAGCACCATTGAATCCAAAAGCTAATCGTGAAAAAATGACACAAATTCTTTTCGAACAATTTAATACACCTGGTTAGAAATTTTCTTCATTTCTACCATAAATCTATATTATGTTTTATTTAGCTATGTATGTGGCAATTCAAGCTGTTCTTTCACTTTATGCAAGTGGTAGAACAATAGGTCTTGTACTTGATAGTGGAGATGGTGTATCTCATACGGTACCCATCTATGAAGGTACAAAATATTTTTCTTCCGTTTCTTTTTTCTTAAATTAAATATTGAATTCTGTAGGTTATGCTTTACCACATGCAATTAGTCGTCTTGATTTAGCTGGACGAGATCTAACCGATTGGATGGTTCGATTATTAACTGAACGTGGTTATGTATTTACAACAACGTCTGAACGTGAAATTGTTCGTGATATAAAAGAGAAATTATGTTATGTTGTATTAAATTTTGAACAAGAATTAACAACTTCTATTACATCGAATAGTATTGAAACAAATTATGAATTACCTGATGGTCAAATAATAACTATTGGTAATGAGCGTTTTCGATGTCCTGAAGCACTTTTTAAACCATCTATGATTGGTCGCGAAGAAGATGGTATTGCTAAAATGGTCTATAATACAATTATGAAATGTGATATTGATGTACGAAGAGAATTATATGCAAATATAGTTTTATCTGGAGGTAAATTTAATATTCTTAAGTAATAATTGATCATATATATTTTTTATGTTTATTATTTAAAGGTACAACTATGTATTCAGGCATTACTGATCGAATGGGAAAAGAAATTAAAACATTAGCACCATCAACTATGAAAGTTAAAATTATGGCTCCATATGAAAGAAAATATGCTGTATGGATTGGTGGTTCAGTTCTTAGTTCATTATCAACATTTGGAAGTATGTGGATTTCGAAACATGAATATGATGAATCAGGTCCATCGATTGTACATCGAAAATGTTTTTAAACAATGAATATAATTTTTGTTGTGTATAATTACTTTTCTTTTTTCTTATCCTGAAATAAAACATAATTGAATGAATAATAAGTTTTGTTTATCATTTAGAATTCTTCATTTCTTTTTAAAATTATCGTAACAGTCGTCAACATATTTTTACATTTATTTCTATAGAAAAAAAATTTTTTCTTTTCAAGAATATTATCGTTTTCTATTCGTCTTATTTTCTTAGATAGTACTTTTCATAATCGAATACATCATTAGTTTTCACTTCCTTTATTTTCTTATGAAATTTAATATTTGTATTGAAAAAACATAGACAGATTTGATTATTTTTATTTGAATTTCTGTGATTTATGCAGAGTAAAACAGATGATTACTGAACAAGAAAAAAAAAAGTTAAATCTTATTCAGAATTTAATCAAAAACAAAAAATTTTCATCTAAATATGACGAAAATAAATGTCAATCAACAAATTTACATAACAAAATTTCATTCTTATGTAAATGCTTACAAATGATTATAAGATGAAAACATTAAAGCGTGTTATGTTCGAATGTTATATAATTTCTTTTTATATCGATCTTTCGAAAGATATAACACAAATTATTATCATTATTAATACACACTAAAAGTTTAACTATGACTTATTCTATACGAATCGTATGTTATCAATTATTAATATTAAATACTATTTAATATTACTGATTTGCTTATAAAAGAATTCATGTTGTCAGTTTAAATGGTAATTATAATAAAGTAATTTATTGTTGGAGAGCTGTACCAAAATTTCGTACAACAAATACAAGTAAAATTGCTTAGAAATTTATCATAGTTCTAGACAAAAACGAATGATTGAACAAGATTAAAATCAAATCAGTTATTTTCTTAAATTTGTATGAAGAGACTGAATAATAAGAAATTAAAAAGTCGTTTTTCTCACTCTGTCTCTCATGTTATAATATTTTTTCTTAAAACATGTCTTTTTTTCTTTGTTCTTTTTGTTTATTATACAAAACCTTCTTAATATTGGAATGACACATACATTAAATCTTTAAATTTCATTTAAATAAAAATGAATTCGATCATCATGAAAAACAAAAAATCGAATTTAATAAAAACTGAACTTTGTCGTTATATAAATAACATTAAATCATGAAAAATAAAATTTAAATAATAATTAAATTTTAGCATGTTTAATATATTCGCTTTTTTTAGTCAATCTTCTTGTTTTTCTAATAGTTTGTCTCGTATAAACACAGGAAAAAAAAAGAAAAAAAAAAAAAGAATATATATATATGTATATATATATATACGTATACATAAAATGTACAATCAGCAAATAGATGATCATATATCTAAAGGCTACATTGAAGTAGAAGAAAACAAGAAAGAAAAAACTATAGCGCCCAATGTATGACGACTTATATACAAAAAAAAAAAACAAAAATTAATTACTAGCCGTTTGCTTAATATCGCTTTCAGCTGAAATGGTATTTATATTTCGTTTTAAGGATGTTATTTGTCTATCAGCACCATACGCAACAGACATATTGTTTTCTATATTTAAAGACTTTTTAACTTGACACCGACTAAGTATTTCATTAAAACCAATATCTTCACCTGAGATAACATGACTAAAATGATAAGAAAAAAAAAACATATTCTTTCTTTTTTGTTTTTGCTTTTGTTTTCTAATTCGATTAAAATAATTGTAATCAATATTTACTCTCGTTTTAAATGTTGTCTCATTAACATACGGGATTTACATCCAAGTGAACAAAAACAACATACATATGTATCAAAATCTTGATGATATACCATATGTGATGTTAATTTATCTTTACGAAAAAAGAAACGACCACAAATGTTGCATCCATATCGAACTTGTCTATCATGTATTGACGTTTTATGACGTATCATTGTATGAACACTACTAAATACTTTATTACCTAAATAAGAAGAAAAAAAAGCAACAATGAATTTTTTTTTGTATGAATCGTTAAATTGTTTTTTTTTTTTTTTTTCAAAATTAATTATCATACAAATTGGACAAGCTGCTTTGGAATCCAGTCGAGCATTGAGTACTTCTTCCTAATTAGATGAAAGATAAGTAAAGAAATTTATTAATTAAATTCTATTGTTTTTTTTTCTTTAATATATACCACATTTTCTTGAAGAGAATCAAATAATGGTGTTGTAGGTGATACATGGGAATCAGAATTATCAAGTACCTAAAAAAGACAAAACTAACAATTATCTTCCCTATGTTGATAATTATTTTTGTCTTGTTTGTTTCATGATTTTTTTCTAGACATTTAATTATAACTAAAACGTCTCTAAGTCAATTATACTAAAATTTTACTCATGTTAAGAGTAAAGTTCGTAAATTGAATTTCATGATTTTCATCCATTAGAACTGAATGAAGTATGTGTAAGATAAATTAGCAGTGAAAAAAAAAATGTATCCTATCCAGGCTCGAAAGTAGGATGTTATTTCAAGATTTCTAATTGTTTTTAAGTGTGAAAGACAGTATCATGCAACTTGGTCAGGTTACCCGGCATCCGGTCCGATCTAGAGTACGAATGTGGATGCAAACTCATCGAATACGTTCGGCTTCGAGTATGGGATCATTCTTGAACTCAATTCAGTAATTAAAAACATCTCGACATTTCAACATATTTGTATTGTTGAAATCGCTATTAATATAAAAGCAAAAAGGCGAAAACTTAAGCAATTTATTGTATTTGAAAACAAATCAGAGAAATTGAAAACAATATTGTTTTACGAAAAGAATTCGTTTTTCATGAAAACTCATCTACAGATGGTGATAAAAGATATAAAGAAGTAATTGAATGTATGAAGACAAAAATGAATTATCGAAAAAAAAAAAAGGTGAACATGTATTATTACACACAGCAAATGTATATTTATCGAAATTGATAGGATATTACTTTTTTTGTTAGTATTTACAGAAAAAACTAAATAATATACTATTTCATATAAAATACGAGTTTGAAAACAGTACTATTCCTATGAAAGTATCTATTGGATGTCGATTAGCTCTGGTCGGGTACCGATTAGAGTTATCAGAATTCAGTTACAAGAAGTCATACCCGTGCCAGATACCAGTGAGAGGCACTGAAGATTTGTTAGAAAGTGTTTTCGTTCGTCTTTCTGGCAGAGATCGAACAGAAAATACTGAAACCATTGACTTTCTGCAATTTTCGTTTTTTCGAGAGAAGGAATCTTCGTATGAAACTCTATTAGAAGAAGAGAGTTAGAATTTTCTTTCTGTTACGATTTCCCATGAGACAGTTTTATAGAAACTTAGAGATTTTTCGGAAGAGAAAGTCCTGATCATTTTCCTCAAATAGGTAGTCTTGATTTACAACTAAACTATTATACTCACTCGTTAGTTCCTAATATATTTGTAATCAAGCCTGAGTAATATCTATTAAAACTTGTGAAATAAAAAAAGAATTCAAGATGCTTCTCTATCATTATTCATTAACATAGTATAACTAATAACTCAAAAATAGTTTTCCATGAAGACTTTTCTAGTTAAATATTTCGTTTTTATTACATGCTACAATATGTTTAATTTCAATGTCATTCGAAAAAACAAACGAATCTATAACATACATTAACTGTCGTATCAGATGTACACATGCCATTATTAGCATGTTCTTGTCCAAGTAATAAACTATCAAATGTTTCATGACATTGAGTACATTTAAAATGTGTTGGTCCTGTCGGTGAACAAGCGTCTGGATCAGTAAATGCAACGAGCATAGGTCGACGATGTATTGTTGCAACTGTCTTCCCAGAATCTCCATCATGAATAAGAGCAGGTACAGGTGATAATGGTTCATTAATTACTGGTTTAAGAGTTAAAGTTTGTTGTTGATGATGTTGTCGATGATCTTCATGATTATGAATTGAATAGGATAAACAACCATTTGTAGACGGAGATGGTGGCCATAAACTACTTGAATAAATAAAATTTGATACAGTAGTTTTATCGGGCGATAAAACAGCATCAATATCTTCTAAACATCTTGATTCATCACTCGATAATTCAATATCACTTTCACCGCGATTTGATTCGCCTGTCATTAATTCTAAAAAAAAAGAATTTTTTTTTTATTTTCTTCATAGAACAAAAAAAATTGAAAACATCAAAATACAAACCTGGACTATTTTCATAAGTTTTAAGATTTGTTATTTGCCAATTTGTAATCATTGCGGATGAAGTTAATCTATCAGCTAATATTGATGCTGTCATTGTTGATGTTGTTGTTGTTGGAATAACAGATGTTGGTGGTTCCATCATTAATATTCTAGATCGTTTTGAAATAGATTCTTGTGAATGTTGCTGATGTTTGAGATCATTTTTAAATGAAAACATTGGCGTAGCTGGTGGTGAACTTGTTTCAACATTTGTTGTTTCACATATTGTTATTTCAGCAGCAAATGATCGACCACATGTACATACAAATCGTTGTCCATTATTTATTTTGGGAGTCATTACTGATTGAATTGGAGTTGATACTAAAATAATATTATTATTCATATAAATATTTATTTATACAATGAATTAACAGGTAATACTTTGTTTTATCGAGATCTTCTTTTTCGGAGAGGTGCCGTCCTTACACTGGGCAAAACATTGCTTTAGAGGTTTTAATTAATCAGAATAGGGTTATTGATATCTTTTAGGAGTGAGAACGACTGAATTCTGTAGCAAGTGCTGTCATCCTCGAACTTCTAGAAATGATCATTTGTCGGAAAACGAAATCCATCGTGACCCAGCTCATCCCAAACGTGATGATTTGCCACTAAGCAGTTCATTGCTTAATTATATTCATTTCCTGACAACATTGTCTACTTATTTTTATTTCATTTTCTGCTAGAAAAAGGTAAATGATGCTTCAAAATCCGGCTTCTATCCGCAGTTATCATGAACCTGTAAAAAAAAAACGAACATTTTCGAGGTATGAAACGTTCTCTAATTGACAAATCTAGATCAAAATTGACCAAGTTTATCAATGAGTCACAACGAACACATATATAATTACAGAAAGGTATTTATTGCGTTTTTCGTTTAAAATTAAGATCACTTTTGAACGTTTTAAAATGTAGTTAAACTAACTGTTTAAAACATAGAAATCAATCGAAATTATTATATATCAATTTTAAACATAATTGAATATTGTACTGTAACAAAGGGAATTCAATCAATATGCAAAAAAAAAAGAAAGTACGGTTATATCGATTCTAACAATATATATGAAACAAAATAATAAAATTTCTAACATCTTGAACGGATTTCGAACCATAACAATTAGTTAATTAAGAAAAAATAAAATCTAACATTCGAAGTTTTTCAATTTTCATTTCAACAAAAAAAAAACTTTCGAAATTTGTATCATAAATTTGAAATTTCTCTATTATCTTTTGTTTTTCTAGAAACTAATATTATCAAAAAAACAAATCTTTATTGTTTTAAATTAAAATACTTACATAGACCTGCCATTCGATACTTGGAAACTTCTCCATCAAGCCAATTCATAAGTGGAACAATTTGATCAGGTTTCGTCTGTTCAATCGCTTTACTTATAAGAATTTGAAGTTCTTCTAGTTCCATATTAGTTTTCTTATTTTAATTTTTTTTTTAAGGCTAAAATGTAATAGAATTAATATAAAAGATCAATCATTTCTTTATCCTGAGTCAAAATCCACAATAATAACTATAATAATCATGATGTTTTGTTTTTTTTTTCCCTTACTTAAGAAATAATATATATTCTAAATATAAATATAAATATATAGCGCCACACATCGTCGAAATCATTAAGACATGTGGCGCATGTTTTATTTCATTGGTTTTACCGAACAACACAAAGAAACATTCATAGAAAATAAATAACAAATAACGTCATTTATAAAAGAGGGCGAAATTATGCTGATGGTTCAATGCATCTACGCATCAGCTGAGTGTTTTATTTTTTCTTTATGTATATTTTCAGATTCTTTTTCTCTTAATAGCCAATAATAAAAACGATGAATAATCGTCAATAATATTGAAGTATAATAAAAATAAAAAAAAGAAGACTATTTTGACGATTTTATTTTCTTCTAATTAATTTTTTTCCCTTATAACAAGAAAAACACAAAAAATGGAATTACGTGTTGGTCATAAATATCGACTTGGACGAAAAATAGGTTCAGGTTCATTTGGTGATATTTATCTTGGTACAAATATTGCATCAAATGAAGAAGTTGCTATTAAACTTGAATGTGTTCGTACAAAACATCCTCAATTACATATTGAATCAAAAATCTATCGAATGATGCAAGGTGGTGTTGGAATACCATTAATTAAATGGTGTGGTGCTGAAGGAGATTATAATGTACTGGTTATGGATTTACTTGGACCATCACTAGAAGATTTATTTAATTTTTGTTCAAGAAAATTTTCACTTAAAACTGTTCTTTTACTTGCTGATCAAATGGTATGAAATATTTTTAATATATTTTAAATAATAGAAATTTTTTTGTTTTTTTTTTGAAATTAAACTTTAGGTTAGTCGTATTGATTTTATTCATTCAAAAAATTTTATTCATCGAGATATAAAACCTGGTAAATTAGTTTTTTATGTTCTGTTCTTTTTTCTTGTTCTAACAAAATCATATTTTTCTCTTTAGACAACTTTTTAATGGGCCTTGGTAGAAAAGGCAATCTTGTGTATATCATTGATTTTGGCCTTGCAAAAAAATATCGGGATGCACGCACACATCAACATATACCATATAGAGAAAATAAAAATTTAACCGGAACAGCACGTTATGCTTCAATTAATACACATCTTGGCATTGGTTTGTTTTGTTATTTATCTTTTTTGTTTTAAGATAAAAGAATCTTGATGAAGAATAGGTGACTTTTAGTTGTAATTGAACTGATTGTGTTTGAAAGTGCACGAGAAAAACATTTATACATGGTACTCTTCTCCTTTAGAATAGAATGTAAGGTGCAGAGTAGAAAGCTTTTATCAAAATAAGTGCTATTTTGAAAGTATCATTTGTATTGTTTCTTTTTGAAAATGATCACTGTTAATTAAATTGCTTTTGCTAGTTTTACATAGTTCAATGAAAAATTTAACGTAAATGAGATTTATACGTTTAATGCAAATTTGTTTTGTCAAAGTTCAAAGTTTCATGCAATGAATCATCTGTAAAATATGAGTAAGAAAACTCGATAATTAAAATTTGGAACTAGCTGTTAGATATAGGATACATTGTTTTAAAAGTTCGTAAAATCTTGAAGTAGAAGACAAAAACTTATTAGTGTAATCCCTATGTGATTAAAATTCGAAATATGATGTAGCTGCTGCTAATTTTCTTAAGCTGATTGTTTTCACCATAGTTTATTTTATTTTTTTGCTTGAAATGCAATATGAAGTACGTTTTGTTATCACGAAATATACCGTATTGTTATATGTTCTGTGATTGTATATCAACAGCGTTGTCACGGTCTATGACGCTCACATGATTACGTTTGTCACGGTGTGTGATGCGCTGTCTCTAACGTGTCTGTCATGTAGATGAGAGATTGAAACTTGTATCTCTACATTTCAACATTTGTTTTAGGTCATGTTTCACAAAAGAATATCTTATTCGTAATTATCGAAAGTTTGTCTATAAGAGAGTTGTAGGTAATTGAAAGGTTTTGAATTGACTGTGTTGCTTCATCATTCTTAATGGGAATGGCTTCCAAAAAAAAAACATTCATTTTATTAATCTCTTGGAAGAAATATTATGTTATAGTGATCTACGAATCAAACTGGTTGCTGCACTTGAAATCTTAGATTTTCTCACTTATCCTAATTAGGCAAAAAATCTAATCTTTCTCAACGTAAACTTTCATTTGATATTTACGAAAATATATATAGAATATAAATTTAGTTCAATTAACACATCTTTAATTGTGTTTTCTTGAAAGTAAAATATATTTTGATTAAAGAAATCAAATAGTCTGGGCAAACAGAACAATAATAAAACTGAGAGTTCTTGAAACAACATTTTTTTATTATTTTGATAAGGGCAAGCAAACATGTTGTCAACAAGCTTTATCAGAGAATAATGATATATGTATAAGAAATATTTTCTCACCGGTGAAGGTTACACCCACTACAATTTTGACCTATAGGATTTTTTGCGAATTTTGTCTATAACTTAGATATTGATCAGAAAGATTTATTTGTTTTATATTCATGGATAGAACCATCCAGGCACATTTTCATAACATTTGGCATAGTTCTCACATATATATGTTATATTTGTACTATGCTACGACCATTGATAAAATTTCACAAGACCTTCGTCAAACAGTTGGCAAAGTGTAAGATTCTGATTTTCTAATATTCATGGTTTTAATTGATGAAAATAACTCGATAAATTTGATTGATAACAATATTGAAGTTATCTATGTAATACAAATCTCTAATTATCAGAATTTAAATTCGTTTCTATATGATATTAGTTATGCAAAAGTTTTAGTTTCTTTTTTTTCAGCAAACAATATTGGATTATTAACGGTTGAATTTCAATTGAAGACTTCAACCTCATACCGAGCAGAATTTTTTTTTGCATTCACGTTAAGTTTAACACGAGCTGAAAAAAGAAATTTTTTTTTCGTCACATTTATTTAAATTAATATTAGACCTAGCAGTTTTCGCTATGTACTTGAATACTAATTCCTGTTTTGTTTGACAATAAGTAGAGATGCGTGAAATCATGGTTTTCTTCTGAATTTAATCTATTTTATAGTACATTTTTATTTATAGAACAAAGTCGTCGTGATGATATGGAATCACTCGGTTATGTACTTATGTACTTTAATCGTGGTAGTCTTCCAGTATGTTTTTTATTTAAATATTAAATTATAAAAAATATATAAAATACATATTTGAAATTATAGTGGCAAGGTTTAAAAGCAGCAACAAAACGTCAAAAATATGAACGTATCAGTGAAAAAAAAATGTCAACACCAATTGAAGAATTATGTAAAGGATTTCCTGGTAAGAAATGTTTATTTGTTAATACAATTTAAATTGGTCGCCGCTTTGTCTCTTTAATTTTAGCTGAATTTACTACTTATCTTTCTTATTGTCGTTCGTTACGTTTTGACGATAAACCAGATTATTCGTATGTTTTTGAGATATTTTTTTTTTTTTTCTAATAAAATTTTAAAATTTCTTTAGATATTTACGACAATTATTTCGCAATTTATTTCATCGACAAGGTTTTACATGTGATTATATATTTGATTGGAATATGCTCAAATTTGTATAGAATTTTTTTTTTTTTCTGTATTTGTTAAGTAATTTGAATTTATTTAGAGCGGTCAACGCTTTGATACGAACAGTGCTAATGAAGGATCGACAAATAAAGTTGAAACAAACGGTTATAATGGTACACAACAACAAAGTACACAACAAATGTATACAACCAATCAAGGTGAGTTAAGAAAAACAAATATTTTTCTTTTTGTCTTTGTACGAATACGTTATTTTCCTTTTCGAAAAAATAATCTATCTTTTCATAAGATTTTGAAAACATGACAAAACAAAAAGATTTCTTTTTTGCATGATAAGAATTAGAAAGTATTGATGTAAATGGTCGAACACCATTCGGTCAATCAATAAGTATGAATGATGATGGACAAATGCCTAATGAAAAACCTGATGACGACAATAAAGATAAAAGACTTTATAAATCATCTTCCAATATTAATGATAATAATAAAAATACAAATATGGTCGATGAACAAATCAATAAAACAGCATCACATTCAAATGTGTTTAGTCGTCTTTTGCAGAGTGAGCTGTGCATGTTGAAATTAAAAAAAAAAAAAATACTTACCAACAAAACGGCTGCTGCTTATTATGAATTCTTCCTATTTTCTATCTCATTGCTGCTGTTATCATGAAGTTTTGCCTTGTCTTTTGTTTTACAGAAATTTTAATATCGTCTCTAAACTTATCTATAATATCAGACATCAATGAAAACAAAAAAATTGTATTTTCACAATGTATTATTATTATTTTCTTTAGAATTTGATGAGACTGAACGACCGACGATGAAATCCAAAATGAAATAATTATAATAAGAAAATAAAAAGAAAGAGAGAAAAAGAGAGAGGTAGTCATGTTGAATATCTTGTGTGCCAGATCTCTCGCTAATAAAGACATTGCACACACATCATCATTTACACACCTTATGCTTTCTTCAATTGCTTTCGATTCATTTCTATTTCTTTTTTCTATTTCAATTGCTTTTTGCTCTTGGTTTTGTTTTTTACTCAATAAATACAGAATAATCGTATATTTTTTTTTCATTTTAGCTGTATATCGACGAACTCCAAAAGAATTTCATCAAATGCAACCACCACAATCAGCATCGAATAATTCCAAACAACAATTGCCGACTGGTACCGATGCAGGTCGATCATCATCAGCACGTGCCACTAAAAAATGATAACGTGCTCATAGCTTTCTCCTTTTCTGTATCTTTTTTTTTTTCTTCAGTGTACAGCGCCTGTTCCTAGTTATCTCTTTCTCTATCCGTGTTTTTTTTGTTTCGTTCTCTTGAAATTTTTTTATAAAAAAATAGAAAAACCATTTGCCTCATGTTTCTATACATAAAACAAAAAGAAAAGAATTTAGATGCGCGCGGCGACCTGTGAACAGTGTGTGTGTGAGTGTGGTCCATCGCATTTTCTCTTCAATTGAATAGATTGTTTCGACAATCAACATCAATATCTTCCATCAATCACATTTTCGTGTATACATACACACATATTTTCACATTTTTTTTTGTTTTTTTTTGAAACACACACACATGTTACACTATACTCATATTTGTTCTCTAATTTTTTTTCTTCTTGCTACTTAATTGTTGTACTGCTGATGCTGATCGTCGTCCTTTCTTTGTCTTTTTTTGGTTTGTTTGTTTTTTTTCTCTTTCTTTATGTGTGCAGTCTATATTACACATACCAACATAAAACTACTCTTCGTTTCTTTTTCTGTCTTTTTTTCTTTTCTTGTCTTTTCTTTTTTTTTGTTCAAAAGATCACATTCAAGATGTCAGAAATAAAAGAAAAACAATATATATGAAGAATATGCCAAATTTATTACTTTCGAAGATAAAAGAAAACTGTCAACAGATGTGCTTGAAAAGAATTTTTTTTTTTCAAAAAAGATTATTTTCATTAATAGGTATTAGTTTTCAATTTTTAGTGATATATTCGGGTTCACCTTTTTGTTGTAACAATGATTGAAATAATAACTAGTCTAAATATATAATTACCAGCATTAATCTCGTTGTGAATCTAAAATGAACAACATTCTAAATTTTCGATAAATCTTCTTTTTGTTATCAGAGGTATGATCTTGTCGCAGACTCAATTTTCATTCCTGAAAAGTGTTTATGACGATAATCAGTTTGTAAGAAAATAGAACGATTTCTACTTATAATGAATCTACAAAAAATTATGCGACAGATTTCTTAAAAAAACATCTCTTATGAATGAAATTTTATTCGGATGGTGATCCTATATGATTTTATATATCTATAGTAAATTTTTATATTAAGACTTCATTTTCAACTATAAAATGTTCATAAGTATTGTTAGAGATAGATTAGTTGGTTTTAAGTCTTATAGCACGCAATTACCGGAAAGGCTAACTTTATATTCTTTGGAGATGTCGATTTACTATAATATTCGTCGATCAGAAACTGTTTCATGCCTAGGAATCTAATTATTTTTGTAAATGATAAAAAATATAAAATGCTCTCATGTAATGACAAGGAATTAACAATGAAGAATCTTTATAACGATACATATTCATTGTTATACTACTCAAAATCTAATAGACAACAGCTTATAGGAGCTGTAATTATCGTCAGAGAACAATATGAATCAATAGTTCACTAGAAAAATAAGCCTGAAAACTAATATCTGTGGAAAATATATTTCTTTTTTTCTTGATATGAACTGTTTGATAAACGTCATTAAGAATAAAAAATATGATATATTAAAGGTCTTGATAAACTCATGAGTTTGAAGATCATTCAAAACTTTGTCTTTTTTTACTAATATATTTGTTTTAGAGATGTTCGATCTATCGCAAATTTTTTCACAATGTAGAACGTTTATATTGTTGTCAATTATGCTCCACATTTTTTAAAATGTTTACTACAGAGATACATGAGCCAGGGATGTTCGATCATAAGTCAAATCAAGTAATGACTCGTCGATTCAGGTTAACTTTGTTAAGACATTCTATATTTCATGAAAAGTTCGAAATATAATATTTTTCATTCATTACTAAAGGAAAATGAGTTTCTAACGGAGTTTCACAACAAAAGAAGAATGAAATGACAAAATGAATATCATTAACGTCTCGATTACAGTTCAAAGAAAACATGATAATCGAATATGTTCTTGTTAACTGAAATTCATCATATATTACAAAAAAACTGTTGCACATAAATCATATTAACAAGTACATATTAAAATTTCGTTATATCTTCTTAAATTATAATTAATTTAATTATTATAGCAAACAGATTGTAAAATTTTATTAAAAAACAGAAATTGGAGAATGATAAGAATACTAGAAGAAGGTTTGAAAAGCTTTTACGCAATTCTAAATTCTTCACTTTTACTTAAACTTAAATATACTCTATTGAATGATTTTCAAATTCTTTATTTCTGATTTTCTACTGCATTTTGTGCGAAAAACAAAAAATAAAATGTGAAATCCTATATACATATACTTTTTAAAACTTGATTTAGTCTATGAAATTGAATCACAAGTGAAGTCAAAAATGACTTGACTTTCTTATCTAAAGTCTGTTGCTTCTATTACATGTAATTGGTTATAATTATTTTAAAAATAGAACAATTCTGATATCATTAATTTTGTTTTTCGTTCTTACCAATGAGTATTAATGCTTTTTAATGCACATTTATTCATGCATTTTCATAATCGACTTTTTTCTCTAAAGAACGTGTCATCAACGAAAAAATCATAATTTTCCACAAATAAATCAATATGATGGTCAATATCAGTATTGACATTAACTAATAGTGTTGTCTACAGTGAATATTTCAAAAATAAATTTCAATTTTTTATTTGATACAATACAGACTGATCAAATAGTTCAAAAGTCACGTTTATGCACATATATTATTTGCATTTTGCTTGCATAAATCTGTCTACGAGCCAACATTAAATTGAAAAATGTGCTATGTTTAATAAGCTCAAAATTTTGAAAATAAGAGTATGCCAGTATTCATCTAAAAAGTAAATCGAAATAGGTTCTTATATAAATGAATTTTTGTGTTAGATATGCTAAAATATACTATTTTGAATTAGTATCAATTCACATGGCATATAACCTTTTCAATAATACAGCGGACAGAAAGATTGGTACATTCAATGTACTCATCAACATCTTCATAGTGAACGACATATTGTACATATGATAGAGAAGATTGTCGTTTGTTAAGTTCCATTCGTCATTATGCTTACGTCTGATTTGAGCATCTCAGTGTTAAGAAAAACTCGCTAAAAATAGATATAGAATAGTTATTTTTTCAATATTGATAGTGTCATACTTGATGAATCGTTTTATCGATTGCAGTTCAGTCGTATAGAGTATCTTTTTTTTTCCATGTTCATGTTCTAATTGATATAACTAGTTGATATTGGTATCCTTTCGAGGAATAATTTAATAGTCATCCTCATGAGTCATTAAAGGCAGCAGTTCTTTTTTCATTTTATTTTTTTCCTTGCATAGTTGATTATATTGCGTTAACTTTATTTGTGTCAGATCGAAGAGGATATTGTTTGAAACTCAAATGAGCATTCCATTCATCTGGAAACGTTTCTTCATCATAGTAAGAGTCAATTGATTTTTCTACAACAACAAAATAAAAACTTTTCAGAAAAACTGCAAATAAAATAAGACTACAGGTATTAAATATACGTCACTCACTGCAACGGTCACTTTTTAATATAAAGAGCAATTCAATAAGCACTGCTTAAACCAGGAAGAAAAAAACGAATGCATTGCATGTATAAGAGACATATTTTATTCGCACACTCTTGTTTTTGTTTATAAGCGGTCATTTATTTCCTTTGACTGAGAAAAAGAAAGAATTTTTTGACCACGAAGGAAATAGCTGCCGGATAGAGAATGACAGTGACGGTCGTTATAGAAGATGTCGAAACCATGCATTGTTTTATTGTCGAGGAAAGGGTAATTACATTGATTGATGAGTGCACTCCTGTCATAGCAAAGGAAATATTTGTCGAAGAATAAGACATTATGGAAAAATTAAAATACCTTTTTAATGTTAAATTATTTCCGTCAAAAACCAAACACTATCTTCAGATTAGATTATATTTTGAAGCCTTTTAAAAGTAGACTAATTTTTCTTTAGCTCTTACCACCAAATGAATTTTTTCGAGAGTCAAACTTTGATGATACACTTCAATGTCGATGTTTGTTATGTAAAGTACAACTCCACCAATATGTGTAAATCTTAAATGTAAATCCCACAGACTCACTCATAAATATTTTCCTAAAGTTTCAATGTAAGAATCAAGTTCTGTTTACCTTACTTCTTCACTGTTTACCACGAAAAGCTTTTTAAACAACGCTCTTGTTGCTATTCATTATGAACTTAAAAATTTCTGAAATTTTTTTCAAGATGATTTAACAAAATATATGTACTAATCATTGGTAAGCGGTAGATGTAAACACATTTGAATCAACATTTCATTATTTTATTTATGGTAAACCACGTTTGGTTGACAACCAAGATGCTGATTGATTTCCAAGTTCAAAACTTTTATAAGAATAGTATGATTATTTAGAATTTCTCTTTCAACTTGATGACCAAAAGTTTGATATTGTCGAATATCTGCGTAGGTATTCAAATGGACGAACACTACGTTTTCGAAATAGAAGAAGAAACTAGCATTTTGGATCAATTTGTTGCTATGAAATGAATGAAAAGATAGTGTCTGTATGTTTATTTCTCTGTTATTGTGCCACGTATTTATCGATAGTTGCTTTTATACAGCATATAAATCTATGCCATTAGAACGTATAAACTATGCACATCATCGAATTTAAAAATAGAAATAAATTATAGTAATATTATTAAGCAAAAAACAATAACTACTGAGCAATGGAACTGTTTGTCATGTCAGTTCATTTGATTAACTATATTCGAGGCAAAATATCGCTCTCGATGAGAATCTATCAAATTACTAATACGAGCTGCTGGTGGCGACCCGGATTTGACTTAATTCAAATTTTAGAGTATTGACAATTTAAATATATACGTATCAATCCACAGAAGCCACGACTGACTCCCACAAGACTTACTCAATCGAGGTCATCAGATTTTACTCCATTTAATACATGTCGCAGAGAGGGAATAGTTTCAAGAATTTTGAAGTAGCCGTTTGCAAGACTATTGTTCCGTTCTCGAGATACTAAAACTTTTTCTGAGGACACTATTGCCGTGTTTTGTGCAATCGCAAATGTCATGAACGGAGCTCCTTAGGAGTCACTGCACGAGAAACACGACCGATTTCCAACATAGCTGCTCAATCGGTATCCTCAGGTTTCAATGAAAGTTAACCTATTTTGTAGAGCAATTTGTTTTAGAAATATAGTCAAATTTTAAGATCTAAAGAATTAACTTTGACCGAGATAGACCTAACCAACTAAAAGCACTAAAACTGGCATTTTTTCAATTTTTTGTATTTCTTTGCAAGAAACTATTTGAAATATTTTCACGATATCTCTCGACAGATACGTAATAGGATTCTGAAATTTTTACTCGATATACATTTTGAGATGAGAAATCTAACCATTCTATTCATTAATGCCCAAGTCATCATGAAGTATGACTAAAAGTTTTACTACACTTGTAGTCGACTCATATATTTCACTCAAAAATAGCCTACCTTCGCAATAGACGCTTTCCAAATCAGCGTGATAGAATTTTCTCAAACTTTTGTCTCAAAGAGTACTAACTTGGTACTACTTGAGTATGCAATCAAAACTTTGGGATCTTGAAGTTAGATCCGGGGAGTCTTGTTACAAAATAGCACTGTATTTTCTGTGTAATCAGAGCCCATCCATGCAAGCCAAGACCGAACTTATTCAATCGATGTTGTCAAAAATTTACTGAAGTTAAGATATGTTGTAGAGGGAAGAGTTTTAAGAATTTTGACGTAAGCCGCTTAAAAAAATATTGTTCTGTTATTGAGATATTAAAATTTTTCTGAGGGAACCATCATCAAAAAGGCATATTTATTTGTCATTTTTCGCCACATTTATATCTCGTCAAGCATACTTACATTCGGCTTGAAATTTTTATTGTGAATAGATATTATTATTATATATTTCCGAGAAAAAACTGAGCTAAAATTGATAAACTATCGATTGAATAAGTTCGGTCTTGGCTTGCATGGATGACCTCTGATTACACAGNAAAACAAATAGAAGACTCAAAAATATTAGTACAACTGTAAGCTTGAGTAGACCAAGGATGTAGGAGGCAAAAGCATCATAGATCAATTATACGTTTAAAAACACCGGTATTGAGAAAGTGCATTCAAGTAAATGCCTGAATCGTTAAAGAATCTTTTTGTTTTCAATCATCAAAGATTGAATTTTAGTTCTACCCATAAGTCAAAGAGCATGGTAAACTATCATTCCCTCGTTAACACGCTAGTGATCGGTCACACTTTTTCGCGTTATTCACTCTCTAGTTAAACCTTCAAAAGTTTTTTCTTATTTTTCGTCGAAATTTTTCTTCGTCAATTCGTCGTTAAATTACTCCGGTTTTTCGTCAAATCCATTCATCTCGTCGTACTCATCAATTCCAGAAGTTTTTTATTCTTAAAAAAATCTGGTTTTTGGTGGAAAAATGCCTCCAAAAAAAGGAGGTGCTGCAAGCAGCAAAACAAAAGTTGGCCTGGACAACAACACAAAAGTTCAAGGACAAAAGAATAATGATCCAGTGCGCAAAACAATTCCATTGGTGAACAAAATTAACCAATCAAAATCGCCGATAGCCCCTCTCATCCTGGAGGGAGTGAAGCTGAACAAATTACAGGTTAGCGACCTCATTAAGCAGAATTTAAAAGACATTCGTGTTTCTGACATCCAATTAAATCGATCAGGAATGTTCACATTATACGCAAGCGATGTGGGCTCATTTAATCGCCTGTTGAATGAGTTCACACCTATACTTGCAACAAACGGTCTGGCATCAGCCAAACTATATGTTCCTCGATCTATTCAAAGAATCAAGGATACAGATAAAGTTGCCTTTGTAAAAAGGGTCGACTTAGAAATACCAGAAAGTCGAATAACTGAAGCATTGAAGGACGTAGGACTCGATGTTATCGATGTTACTCGACTAACAAACAAGGAACATAATACTCCGACTCGAACAGTAAAAGTAACATTCTCTGATGCACACAACAGAAACACGTTTGTTAATACAGGACTGCAGGTCGATTTAATGCACTTCATTGCTGAAGCTGCAAATCACAATTCTAAGCCGGTACAATGCTATGTGTGCTTTAAATACAATCACATAGCAAAGTATTGCAAAACAAAGCAACAGATATGTGCAAGATGCGGTGATAACCATCACGTCGACAAATGTACTGCTGCAGCAGACACTGGTAAGTGTTGTAACTGTAATGGTAATCATTTAGCTACGTCCAATGAATGCCCCAAATACAAAGAGCAAGAAAAACGTATGTTAGATGCCGTCAACCAATACAGTTCATCAACAACACAATCAACAGCAGCAGCATTCAACATTAACAGCTTAACCGACTTTCCCGCCTTAACACCAACGGCCCAACAACTACTTAATCATCCATCCAACGACTTTATCGATGCATTAGTTAATATTCTCTCCAATAAAATGGAGAAAATTATTGAAGCCGCAACTAGTCGCATATTCAAATCACTTGAACAACGATTAAGTAAAATAGAGAAGACCATCGCAGCAGTCGACAACATGATAGATGACGATGCATCCATGGAATCATCAAATGACTCAAGCCTCGACAACGATAATGAAATTCAAGTCATCAACACCAAACAAGATAGTCAACAAGGTTCAGCCCAAACAAACACCACAGCTACACAGCAACAATTGACATCAAAGGGTGTTATGTCCAAACCACCAAATAAGAAAAAAGCAACATCGAAAGCAGTCAAAAGAAATAGATCACCCAACAGCTCATTAGATGCAACAACAACAAACAGTTAAAATAGAAAGACACGCAATAATGAAAGTTAGTGTTTGTCATATCAACATTACCTCAATTTTAAAACATAAAGATGAGCTCCTAGCCAGATATTCAACATATGACATCATCTCGGTAAACGAAACTAACCTTAAAAGAGAACGACCATTCGCTTTGAAAGGTTACAACGTTTACAGAAATGATCGAATAGGAAAATCTGGAGGTGGAGTAATGATAGCTGTTAAAAATCACATTAAATGTAGTGAAATCCTTAATGAAACAATGAATGATAATGAAGTCGTTGCAATAGAATTAAGTACAACATCATCACTTAAGTCAATCATTATCGCATCAATTTATGTTCCACCAAAGGCCAAAATATGTTCCGAAATCTTCCACAAGTTACACCAGTTAAATAACAATTGTATGATAGTAGGTGATCTTAACGCTGCACTTCAGCAAATGGGATCCCGAAAAACAAATGCAAGAGGAAGACAATTACAAGAACTGTTAGAAGAGGGTTATATTTATTGCATCGAAGATGATAGTACAACATACGAGAGAAACGATTATGAAGAAAAACTGGACTGGATATTAGCCAGTCAACCACTATTGTCATTTATCTCAAATGTTGAAACACATCCGACAATCGGTGCATTTTCTGGCCACAAACCGTTAACCTTCGAATTATCTATTGGAATGGAACCAAAACCAACATCGCCTCGAATATCATTTAATTTTAAAGCTGCTAATTGGATCAAATTTAGAAAAATTTTAAATGAACAATTACAACTATGGGATATTACGCACACAATCAACACATCGGTAGATATAGAAGAATACAATTCATTCATTACAAAGAGCCTTTTATCAGCAACATACCAAGCCATACCAAAATCGAAACAAGCAAATTGCAACTACACAATCAGTGAAGCTACAAGATGCTTGATCAAATTTAAGCATCAACATTACAGAAAATGGAAAAAGACCGGTGAAAATTCAGAAAAACAGCAATATTACAAATACAAGTTACTTTTGACTAATTCACTTCGAAACGATCGTAAAGATCATTTCAAGAACTTTATGATGTCATTATGTCAAAAGAAAATGTATTCTGAATCAGTATGGCTAACAGTAAGAAAATTTCATCAAAAAAGAATAAAACAATCTTTCCCTAGAATCATGAAATATAACAACATCGTAGCAACGTCGGACAAGGAGAAAGCAGATGCTTTTGCTGAATTTTTCCAGAACGAAATCTATGCCTCTCCTAATGATACACTGCCATTTCATGATCAAGTAACAAGACAAGTTAACAACATCAAACACAAGATGAAGACCACATCAAACATCAAATGGAAGAGAATAACACCAGAAGAAGTCAAGTGGCATATTAAACAACTTAGAAATAGTGCAACGGGCCCGGATAACATCCATAACAGATGTTTGAAGAATTACACGTTGCAACTAGTACACCACTTAACTCAGCTCTTCAATTCAATCATCGATGTGGGTCACATTCCAAACATATGGAATAAGGCTAACATTATTCTTCTATTGAAACCGAATAAAGACAAGCAACAGCCATCTAGTTATCGTTCAATAAGTCTACTAAGCTGCCTTGGCAAATTATTGGAACGTATTATTAAACAACGTCTATTACACGTATTAAACATTCGAAACATCCTGCCTCAACATCAAGCTGGATTTCGCCCGAAAAAAAGCACCATGTACAATATCGTCCGACTTGAACGCTACATCAAAAGTCAAATGCACCATCTGAAAACAAAAAGACACGTGGCAGCAATCTTTTTTGACATTAAAGCTGCTTTTGACTCGGTGTGGCATGATGGATTAATATACAAGTGCAAGGATTTAAATTTACCAACATACATCATTAAATACCTTATATCATTCCTTGACAATAGATCTGCTGTTGTTGAATTGGACAATACGTTATCGCGGTCGTTCATGCTCCACAGTGGGACTCCTCAAGGATCACCATTATCACCATTACTTTATATTATTTACACATCCGACTCGATGAATGGAATACCACCACATACAGAACATGGTCTCTTCGCCGATGATACTGCATTATGGACAGGTTCGCATCAACTTAAAAACTTAAATGATAGACTTCAACAATCAATAAACGAGTTTGAAAAGTGGTGCAAAGCATGGAAACTGAAGCTACAACCGACGAAGACAGAACTAGTACATTTTAGCATCCATCCACGAAAGAAATATGATAACCCAATACAAGTTACAGTTGAAAACACTATCGTTCACCCAGTTTCTTCTACCAGATATTTAGGTGTTATCATCGACAATCGACTTAGTTGGAGAACACACTTGAAACACATCGAAACCAAGGTAGCGGCTCGAATTAGTTTATTACGTTTTCTCAACCGAGCAGCGGTGGACCCAAACGACAAAATTATGATCAACTTATATAAATCACTTGTTAGAACGGTCATCGTTTATGGTTATCCAGTATTACTTACGACCGACACCAAAATATGGGACCGTATTCAAATTATTCAAAACAAAGCACTTCGTGCAGCATTAGGACTACCGCATTATACGTCTGTCGATTACATTCATAGAATAGCTAATATACCAAAAATAAACGATTATGCGAAGACATTGCTTCAACGAGCAACTTCAACTGCATTATCGAATAATGACACTACGTATCACCAAGCACTACAAGAAATACTGCAAGCAATATGAACACAACAGCAACTACAATCACTGATATTATATGAAAAATCAATTTCAACAGCTACTAATTCAACTTCGAAAGAAATCACCCTCCTATCTATATTAACTTCATCCTCGATAAACTAGACCACTGTTGAGTCGCCCGAATCTGTACAAAAATTGTTATATCGGATTCGCATACTACGAGTTTGTTTCATATATAACGAGAAATGAGTCAACTGATTCGCTTATTCAATATATCACATTAAGCTATTTCTTTTTCTGTCCTTCCTTCTCATATTGTATATAAAGTTTACTTAATCGTTTTCCTTATTCCATCTATTATATTCAGCTATTTCTTTTTTTTTCCTTCATTTTCATATTATATACGAAGTTGGGTCAATCTATTAGCTGCCTCGATTTCATTTCATACAGTCGTATATTTCGTTTTTTTCATTCTATTTGATGTATTTGTGTTTTACATGAAGTCACTTTTGTTATCATCTCCTTTATATGTAGTATCTAACCGTTCCTCGAGACAAAAGACATTAGTCAAGTGTCTCTTCGTTGTTTTGTTTTTGCTTTTGTCCAGCCATTTTATTGTATTTTGTTATATTATATAATAAAAGGCCTTGTCTCCAAAAAAAAAAAAAAAATGGTAAACTATGAAAGAGCAAAAATTAGAATATTTCAGAAATGGAAAAGGCATGGGTATTCTTCTAAAGTCTATACAAGTGATCTGTTTACTTTTGTCACACTGTCTTGATCGATTTCTCCACCGGTCACAAAAATCAGTACATCGGATTTTTTGAAATGCTGTTTTTGTTAATGGGTTTTGAAAAATAATGTGTGGATACGTTCCACCTAAAGATTTGGCAATTTGAATATTTTCCCA